GACAGAACAGGCGTGCTGTACACCCACTGCAGTGCAGCTGTGCGTGACTTGCTGTATCTGCCCTTGGTTGGAGTCAAATTAAGGACTGCATTTGCTCTAGGAATGTCACTGGCTGATGATCAAGCTGTTGTCACTGGCACATACTCGAGGATGTGGTTTCCTCTCTTGGCCAGAGAGGACCATTGCAACTGCACAGACAGAAGCATAGACAAGTGCGACCCTCCTCCGCGGAGTGCAAAGCTAATTAAAGACGTGCATGTGTGACATCTCGCGCATAGCGGACCCTTGAGCGGCACCTCCGTGCCCTGCTCTCCAGCTATGTCCGCTCGTCCCCATGGCAGCTTGAGGTGGTGCACGGGGCTGCATCCCCCTGCAGGGTCTATCCTGCGGCAATCATTTCCTTCTCAGTCTTAGCACTGGGGTAAAAAAGCAGAACCACAGCCTGGTTTAGGGCTCCTGGGTGTAATCTATGCTTTTTCAGAGGACCATGGCTTTTGCAAAGAGCAAATTTTTTTTTGTCTGTGCTCTTTGGCTACCTATGGTTGCTGTGAAGGGTTGAAATGAGAATCCTTGCTAGATCTTTGCTGAGCAGGCTATGGGGCACATCCCTCAATAGCTGCAGTCTCTGGAGGTGTGCTTATATACGCACAAATACAAAGAAAGTTCTTTGTGTGCCTTCTAGGACTGGTGCGGCTGTAGCTGGCACTGCTCCCCTCCCTCCTGCCAGGCGCAGCTTGGCTGGGGTGTTCGATGTGGAGAGATGGACTTTATTTTTACTGAAGGGTAAATTATTGTGACTGCAAATTGTGAAAGTTGGCATCGCTTACTGAACGCTGTAAGGAAGAAGAGTCCTAGAGGATTCCTGATTGAATTCATTTTGGTGTTTCCAGGGAAACAGGCTGAGCTGTACCAAGAGGAGGCAGGGTCCTGTTGGGCGATGGTGAGGCTTTGCATGCTGTTTGCAGTGATACCCCTGGCTTGGAAGCATGGCGTTAGTCCTTCAGTGAGGGTCCAGCTCTCCGCGCGAATTCCTGGTGCTGTGTGAGCAGGGCAGAGCCTGCAGCCACCTCTCTCCAGCCCACACCCTCTCCCTCCTGCCAGGCTTTGGGTGTGCAAAGCCAGGGGCGTATGGCAGCTGTGTGTTTGTATTGGGAGGAAAAAGATTTCTGAGTGACTGTTAAAATGAGGGAGAATATGGGCTTATCGCTCCCGGCCTAGAGAAAATGTAGCCCCGTTTTTCCACACAGCTGATCTCTTCCTGCCCAGCTCCAGCTGCTAACCATGGTGGCTCCTTCCTGCTATCAAGCCACTCTCCTGTGGCTCATCCCTTTCTCCCCAGCCCCCCCCCCTGCCCTGCGCCATCCCCTGGTGTCACCGCACCACAGTTTGGGTGCCTTCTCATCGAGTGTCTCTGAGCACCATGTGGCGATGGTCTGCATCAGGCCCTGGTGCTGTCCTGGCTACTGGACCCTGCAGGGACGCAGCCCCCGGGCATCAGCGTCTTCTGTTCCCTCAGTGGCTGGTGCCGCAGGCACTGCTGTGGTGGGGTCGGCTGCCAGAGTCTTCCCTACATTAATTTCCCAGGGAACACCCCATTGTTATGGTGACATCCATAATACCATAGCAGTACCCAATGCTGTCCATCCTCTGTTGTGTATATATAGGATCTGTCAGGAGCCGGAGTTCAGCCAAGGCTCTGTACGTGTTCAAGGACGAGTCACGTTGGCCCGGACAAGTCTGGTTTCCATTAAGCGCTCCTTATAAGCCACACCAGGCATTTGCAGCACTGACCCTCTCTCCGTCTTGTCATCTCCTTCCCCAACCCTACATCTTCCACGGTTATTTTTCTATGGTGGGGTCTGTGCACAGTGCCAGGAGGCTGCCTTGGCCGCCCCAGGGATGTCCTTAGTGGCTGTCACCTTGGCATGGGACGGGGATGGCTGGCTGCCTTCAGCTGCCGTTAGCTCCGGGCATCGGGGTGAATGCACCCAGTCACTGCTCACAGCCGGGCTTCCTACACCCAGCTTTGCTGAAGGTGAGGATGAGGGTGGCTCCCCAAAATGAAAAAAATTCCTTGTTCCAAGTGAAACCAAGCAGCACTGGACTAATTAAGGGGTGCTCGTTGGGTTTTTTTTCCCACTGTTAAGTTAATGTGAGCTGTGGTTCATAGCACGTCCACCTGGATTTCCTTCAGCTAGACAATGGGCAAATAAGCTTTCAGGCCAGACAATGTTTTGAAAGGAAAATGTAACTTAAATCAGCTGTACTGTTTATTTTTTTTTCTGGTTAAAATAGATTGTGTTTGGCTTTTTCAAACCCTCTCTGCTATTGCCTTGCCCCGTTTCTATAAAAACCAAAAGAGAAGCAGCTTGCCCAGGACCACTTCTGCGATGCTCGGGCTAAGCACTGTGCTGACACACGCGATGGAAAACCGATGCGTGCAAACGCTCTGTTGGGCATTGTGAGTGGGGTTTGTGTGTGCAGCCATGCTTCTGGCCCACAGGATCGCAGGCAACCAGAGCTGGCTGTGCCTTGTCACCTTCCCCCCAGCCAGTGCACGTGGAAGGGGCGGAGGGATGCTGGACAGGGTGCAGATGGTGGGATGCGATGCGCTGCCTTGGGTGCCACTGGTTTTCAGAGGGGCTGCTCAGGGGTCTTGTGCTGGGTCAGGGTGGGTGTTCAAATGGAGTGATTGAAGTTCACCCACTAATAAACATAGTCAAGGAGCGACGAGGGGCTGGGCAGGGACCATCAGCAGCATCCAGGGAAGATGGTGAGGGTTTGCAGGGGTATGAACAAAGATTCCCCTGAGTGACAACTGAATGAGAGCCTCTGGCCCCGGCCTGAAGCGAATGCTGTGGAGACTGAGAGTGAATTATTTGCTGAGGTTTTCCATTAAATCAATGACATCATTCTGTGCTGGAGTTCACGCATTTACGTGCTCTCAGCCCCCCCCGCCCCCCCCACCCGGCAGCTGTGCTTAAATAGCGACATTCAGGCCTGAATCTGCCCATTCAGGAGCAAAGGTTTGACCCGTCGGAGGAAACTGCTGAACGAGGCTTTTGAGAGGAAAGCAGGGATCGTCTGCACTTCAAGGCCGTGCTTCTCCCCCGGCCCAGCTGTCCTCACATGCCATGGTTGCTCAGGGGCCTTGGGGAGGGCTGAGGAGCCTCAGGGTGCTCCTGGCCTGGGGATGGGGGGAAGGAAAGCAGGCTGGCGACCTGCTGGGATCCCACACGAGCCGCTTGATTTCTTTTCCCAACTTCCAATTCAGTGTGGTCCAGTTTTTCTCTCTGCTTCATAGCACTTTTTCAGAAAACTCCATGTTTGCCACCATGGTGATAAGTTCTTTTGTCGCTGAGTCTGCAATGGAAAAGAACAAACAAAAGTACACCTGGGTCACCCTTTTCCTCAAGCTAGAAATGCAGGGGGTAGCCTGTACTGTGTAGACACAATTCCTCACTAATTCACACCTCATTTTTGGCTGTTATTTCCCCCCAGATTTTAACAACTGATGCCAAAACTGATAGTGTGTGTCTTTTTTTTTTTTTAAACAAACAGAAAAAATAAAAACCCAAACGCCAATGTACACAGAGTTGCTCTTGTGTTAACAGCAATCTTTCCTCTGGTTTGGCAAAGCAGGAGTGTGTGAGATGGTGGCACTTTAACAGTCTGTGTCTTCCACACTTGCAGCTTCCTGAATTTCAGAAAGCAGCATCTCTGGTGCACCCCCACGAAGGAACTGTGCCTATAGCTGGAGTCAAAATTAGAGAAAATAGCAACGTAAATCAAAGTATAAAATTATTCCTTTGCTTTTGTTTTATTGTCTACATCCTATTCCCTAAGGTCAGGCAAGTTCAGCCTCCTTCTGTGTGTGTCTAGGGTACTTGCTGTTGGAGAAAGACTAATCCCCTAAGAAGCACATAACTTTGTGCAGGAAGACGTGGTTGTTGTGGGTCTGTCAAATCCATCACATATTCCTGTTGTGCTCCACCAGCAGAAGGACGTGGTTTCTCCTGCAGTGAAGTGTTGCTGGTGGCTGCCACCGCTGTCACTAGGTGGGTAAGTTGGCGTTGGGGTCTGCTGCATCATAACTGCCCTGTCCCGGCCACAGCTCCTCTGCTGGTGTCAGCAGACTCCTTCACAAGGGAGCCACTGACAAAGCTGTGAAGCAGCCGCACAGGATGCAAAGACACAAAGGATCCTTTTGGCTAGAAACTTCACTGGAAAGTCCCAAAATAATTTTGGCTGAGCTACCGACCACTATCAGGAAGTGTCTTTCCTTCAAGACTGAACGTTTCTCCACCAGCGGGCCAGGAGCAGGTCCCAGGGCCGTCTGCAGACACACTGACGGGCACAGCTTGAGCCCCCTGGCTCCCCGCGCTCAGCTGTGGTGCTGTCGTGCTTCTCTTAGGGCCTGTTTTTATCTGTGACCCTCTGAAGGGGGAGAGTTATTAAGTCCTATTCTTTTCCCCACGTTTATTTTCTGACTCTACAGATTTTTCTCCCTTATAATGGAAGAAATTCCTTTGAACAGCGACAAGCCTGTCTGACAGCCTCCGTGTTCCGAGGAGCGGTGCCGATGCATGCACAGCACTGGGGATGCCTGCTTCTCTGATGTCTGTGTTCCTGCAGCAGGGGTGAATGCTGTATTTGCAGCTGCATGTTTTCCTGCGGGAGAAATGTGTTGGTTCTTCCTGTACATAGCAGGACATGACGCTATTGATTGTCTGTTTGTACAATCCAGGGCTTCCATTAGTATTGCAGAAGCATTTTCAACCACACTGAGAAAGAAAAAATAAAAACCCAAATACTGTCTGCAACCTTGAATGGTTATTAACATTGCAACGGTTTCTGAAGTGCTTAAATTCATGATGCCTATGGATTTTTCTAACCACCTCTGCTGTGGTTTTGTTCCACTCAGGCTGTATTTCTAAGACTTGCCACTTCTGCATAACAATTGCAAAAATACACAGCCTTATTGTTCTGTCCTTTTCCAGGTTACTCCTCGGCAGTGCAGAAATTCTCCCAGACTTTGCAATCCTTTCAGTTCGACTTTATTGGTGACACACTAACGGATGATGAGATTAATATTGGTAAGTTTTTTTTCTTTTTGATACAAACTCTCAGTAACTGAGAAAGTCTCTCCTACCATAGGAATTTGCCTGTGCCAGTGTTTTTTAAACAGCGTCAGGAAACAAGTTCTTCAGATGCCAGTCAGCCATTCCATAGCATATTTTACGAAGTTGAACTTTCACGTGTAGAGTTTGACATTCCAAATTCAGTGGATAATTTGCGAGGTTTTCCATGGCTCCAGTCCTACTCCATGCTGCCAGGCCGTGGGGAGGACGGTGGTGCAGTGCTGGCCTACCAGCAAGTCCCACGTTCCAGTGTTGCAGGTGGGGTGGGAACATGTGTGGCGCTGAGCATCGGCCACATCTCCTACTCCAGGCAGGCGATGCTCCTCAAGCTGCCTTTGCTCTGCTGAAAAAGCCTTACAAAAACAAAGCTGCCCCATGCTGCCCTGGGAAAGGGACCAGGCTGTAAACTGCTGGGAAAAATGAATTGCTGCATGTGTTGTCATATGGAAGAATGATCACAGGTCTCTGCCTTTGCAGCAGGGGAGCCTGTGGCACAAGTGTCGTACTACTCCCTTCACATCTGTTTCAGGATTAGCAGTTCTGAAGCCATTTTACGTCCCTGCCAGCCCAGTGCAACTGTGCAGGTTACACAGCTGCCAGCTGCACCCAGGGAGCTAATACAAATGACCTAAATGCCCTAAACCCAAGTGCTCTTCAAATTAATCCTGCTCGTAGCTTAGCTAGAGCTGTTGAGTGGCCAGTGCAGGGCTGTGGGTGCTGCGGTGGTGGCAGGGCTGGCAGCTGGCGGGAGGGATAACACAAGATCCTCCAGCCTCCAAGGGTCTGACCCTAGCCCATGGGACAAAACCCTGGGGGCGCCTGCCTGGGTTGAGGGGCTGGGACTGCCTGTGGCGGGGGGCACAGGGCATTAGCCAGGCTGCTCCTGGGGGCTGCATGTAGAAAAAAAAGAACAAAAAAAAAAAAGCTGTTGTCAGGCTCTTGTTGAAGAGCAGCTGCAACTGTTACATTGCTGATGTCAGGTCTCTCGGCCATCACTGAAAGGGGAAGGAAGTAAAGCCTGTTCTTTGAGTTGTTTTATTTAAAGCAGATTGCAGCTTGCCCTTCAAAATCTGATTTCCTTTATGGAAGGTCTTTAGGTGAAACCCACCAGCAATGAGTCAGCCTCCAAATCTAATGGCAATAGAGATGCTGAATAAGGGAGGGGGAAAAGTTGCCTTATTAAATGCCCCTCCAGGGAGCAGAGGGATCTGAAGCAAACAGCCACCCAAGGAAATGAGTGTCCCTCCTCTCGGCTGGAAGGGACAAAGCTCCAACGTCCTGTGCCCCTGCGCTGCTTCTCCGCCTGCCTCCACGTGCTGGTCGCGGGAGGGAAGCAGAGCCTGCCAGCTGTGAACCAGTGCGGCAGAGCTACAGTGAGCTGGTGCGGCAAGGAAGACTGCTGGCAGTGGCAGAGGTTGAATGGAGGGATCGTGGGCGGAGGAGAGCAAGGAGAGATCACAGCAAATGTAAAACGCTCTGTGGTGAAACGAGCGCATTTCCCTATTTCTGTTTTTGTTGGAAATATTTGGTTTGCTTTTTCAAGAAGAGGTCCCTGGTTTCCCTATGAAAAAGCCTGTGCTGTATTCCTCCTCCTACACTAAACCCTGCAGCACCTGATGGGGCCGAGCTGCTTTGCAAATTTCCCGTATTCTTGAAACAGCAGTAGGGCGTTGACATCTCCGTAGCAGCTTCCATCTCCTGCAAGGATGCGTGGGAGCACAGGAGCTCATTTGATGTGCAGGATATGGGAATGAAGCAAAACATTCACAAGCACTTCTTGTCGTACTTTAGGGAACATGTTTGATCTGTATGTATAGCTAATGGCACACTTCTTTCCGTCTGTAGGCAGGCAGCAGGCTGACACCCCTGCATGTCAGGCGGTGGCTTTGAACACTGCAAGCGTGAGTCAGGACACAGGCGCTGTGTTGATGCTGTCTGTTGTGAGCAGTGCTTTTCCCCAGGGATGTTAATAGTTGCAGACACGCCCGCGTTACACAGTGGCTGCTGGTCACCCGCACAGGACCCGAGTCAGCAGCTCTTCAGAGATGAACGGAGCAATGAAATCAGATGGCGTGTTGCTCCCTCCCAGACACGGGAACCTGAAATGCTCTGGTTTTAAGCAGCTGATGTTCCTGGCATGCTTCTGGCTGTGGACAGCTGAGTCACTCCCAGGCAGTTCCCAGGTGTGGCTTGGCAGGCAGCGGTTGCAGGCAGCCTCCCTGTTCTACTCTGCAAGGGTTTGCGAGTGTTGACCCAGGCTAGTAGAACAGGGCTACCCCAGTGCTCCTGGACCCTGCTGGTCTGGCAGCAGGGTGTAGCCTGAGCCACATGTTTGCAGTGCAAGGACAAATTCAGTGGGTTGCTCTGCAACTGCAGCCAGGAAATGTGTGCCTGGACTCTTCCTGTAGAGCAAGAAAAAAAACATCTAGTGAAAATTTTAGGTGCTGACATTTTCCCTGTAAGTTCAAGGCTGGCTTCTCTGTCTCCCCATGGATAATTCTGTTCCTGGCTCAGGCTCCCGGTGCCTCTGTGCACTTCAGGTTTCACATCATCCTGAGTAACCACAGTGAAAGGCAGCATGTCAGCCCTGTGGTCGAGCATAATAAACTATTAGGGCATTGCATGTGCTGGGCTTTGAAGCCCTCGCTCTGGAAGAGAACTCAGAAGCTACTGACTCATCAAGATAGTTACGTTTTGATGATGCCAGCTGAGGGACTGTGTCACGAGGCTGTGGTTTTTCTCTTTTGTGTCTGTCTCAGCAACTGCAGAGTGAATCCTCTAACACTGGCAGCTCATACTCACTGGCTGTGCAGCAGCATTACAGCTGGTTTTGAGCAGAAGGACAGGTACTTCTGCTGAGGTACCGCCTGTGGATGAGGGGAGAGGGCCCTCGGCTTGCAGATAGAGCACAAGTGTGTCCTCTCCCCTTATCTGCGGGATGAGCTGTTGCTGTACATGCCTTGCTGTCCACCTGATTTGTTCCCTCGTGTGTTACCCCTGCCAAGCCAGGCGTGCTGGAGCTCTGGATGCCGCCCTGCTCAAGAGCTCTGGTGTCAGCCGGGCACTTCTGAGGTTCTTTGGTTTGTTCTCAGACAGTCTTTAAATTGCTCAGCAGTGGTCAAGCATCTCTGCGTGCTTCCCAGTGAGTGCAGGGTCTGAGCTGCAAGCACAAGAACTTGTGTTGGTTTTACAAAGTCGCTCTGTACTTCACGCATGACAGTGCATGGTTTTAGCATGAGGCCCGCAGGACTTGTCTGAGCTGTGAGCCGAGCAGGGTGCTGCTCCTGCAGCTGGAAGGTGTGGGAACCTTTCCCAGCTGACTCCCAGGAAGTTCCCATGCACGCTGGGGCAATGGGATTATTCCCTGCAGACATTCAGCATACAGCCATGCTGTATGCGTAGGCAGATATTTGCCCAGCCTTGTCTTACAGCCTTCCGGAGAACCGAGACTTTTGCAGCACTCCTCACTTCAGTGCTGTTAGTGCTCTTTTGGTGAGAGAGGTTTTCTCCCCTGCTACAAATTTAGCCCTTCCCGTGCTCTCCTTTGGTGGGCGGAGAGAAAGGCTGAGTGTTCCCTCTCAGTGATAACCCTGTTGATGTGGGGAGGGCCAACTACTCCTACCTAGGCTCTTCCCCCCGCCCCAGGCCAAATAAACATTGTTGTTTCAGTTTGTTAAAGGAAAGGTTTCATTTTATTTTTATTGTACTTGGGACTCCAAGAAAGTGCTGATCAACAAGATCTTTTTGTTTAATTTTTAACATTTTGGGGAGTGGTGTCAATGTCTGTGAGTGTTTCTACACCTGCTGCCTTTCCTTCATAGGTACATGGACTTTGTGCTTCTTGTCACTGAACAAAATCTTGGTCATTCTGGGCTGTTTTCATTTTACAAACTTGTCTTGGCCCTGGAAAGCACCTGCAGCTCTTCCCAGCTCAGACAGGTGCTGGGCCTGTTCGGGCACTGCCGGCAGCCCTGTCCTGCCCGCAGCTCCGCTTTGTGGCAGACCCTGTCCCACAGCGGTCCCTGGTGCCAGTGGCTGCCTCTTCCCATCCTTTGCCTCTTCCCTGCCGCCTGCCTTACCAGCTTTGCAGTGCAGTTCCTAATGAAAGCTAATTAACTTCATCTTCCCTTCCCAGGGTGTTCTCTTCCCCGTTTTTCTGGGCAGGAGTCCCTCCTCTACAGTGCGTAAATAAATACCCCTCGTGGCCAGCCTTTGCCTATGGCCTTGTCTGGCTTGGTTTCTGCAAAAGGGGCCACCTCTTCTCTGTTTTTTGGCCAGCCTTTAGATGGTGATGCTGGGGGTGCAGCCAAATCCGGGCACCCCTGCATGTGTCCCATGCTCCGGTGCCACGTCCCAGCTCCGCTGACCAGCCTCTTCTTTTCTTTACAGCCGAGTCCTTTAAGGAGTTCGCAGAGCTGCTCCATGAGGTAGAGCTAGAGAGGTCCATGATGGTAAGATGATCTGAACTGTGCTCTGGTAGTTACTGCGTCATCACAATGTTTAAATGCTAAGTCACGGCCAAATGGCACCACATACCTTGGTGTGAAGCTTCCCATCGGAGGGAAGCTGGGAGCACTGGGAACATTGTGCTTTGTACCACACCTGGACCGTGGTGCCATCACCATGAGCCCTGAGCAGCAAAGGGGAGGTGCTGGGTGGAGAGCAGAAGAGGTTGTCCCATGCAGTGTCCTGGACCTCTCCTGCATGCCAGGCAGTCACAGAGCCCCAGGACCTTGCCATCTGCAGCAGGTTTGCTCTGCAGAGCCAGGTGTATTTGAGCTGGTAACAAGCTGGTTTTGTGGTGAAAGAATAAGAAGCAAGATGTATTTTGAGCTTCGTTTTTTGCTGGGTGCAAGCACGCGGGTCCCCCTGTGCCCCTGCTCGTGCTGGCACAGCTCCTGCAGGGCAATGTGGTGCCTTTGGTCTCCCACTTCGTTGTGCCCTCTGCCTCTCCAGAGCTCCTCCAAAGTGAGTGTTGGCTTCCCGTTTCACTCCTAGTTCCAGGAAAAACACGAAGGTTGGGCACGGTAGAGAGCTTTTACAGCATGCCAGGAATGTGCTGCTTGGCTCTGCTTTCCTCTGCCTCGTGCAGCAGTCGGAGCTTGTGCCAGGCTGCTGACTGGGCCAGCGCCGCAGGGGTGGCTGCACCGGTGTGATGCCACCATCCACTCTGCAGGTCCGCAGGCGGGCAGGGGATGGGAGGTAACCAGTAAGAGGCTGGAGGAAAGCAGTAAGATATTTATTACATCCCAGGTACAATGCCTCCTTTCACAGTGGGTGAGTGGGTGGAAGGGATCATTTCGGGGAACGTGTCCAGAACAGAGGAGCTGGTAGCAGAGGGGAAGCAGCTGCAGCAGCACATCTCTGCTCCCTTCCCTCCCGTTAGAGCAGGCAGGGCAGCTCGCTGCGGGCAGGGGCTTAGCTGAGCTGAAGTAGCAGTCTCCAGTGTGCTTTGAGAAGATATTTGTTCTGGTTTGTGCTTCTCAGAGTGATAAACAAGTAGCCTTGCCTCCTGGGGCTGCTCCTCGTGAGGGCTCACCCAGCAGCCAGCATACTTCGAACACGCAGTTCTCCCAGCCTTCCTGTGTCCAACAGGGGCAGTGGTTCTCTTAAAACAGGATGGGTGGGAGGTGCTGTCACTGTTGGGATCGTCCTGCCTTAGCACAGCCTGTGGCACAGGGCTGGGGGCAGGCTGGGGGAAGCCTGGCTGTCATTTACAGGATGTCCCCAAAACCTTGTGTGCCATGATTGGGGTTTTCTGTGTAGTACAGACAGGGAAACGCAGATATGGATGGGTGAAGTGACTTCACTTACAGAGAGAGACTAAGTTTGCAAGTCAGAGATGTTAAGAGTCAGATTTCTTGGCTTCTAGCTCTGCTCAGCCTCTCTTTAGGAGAAAATGAATCCATGTCCTGTAATTAAACTGTTTCTTTCTTTGTGCTGTAGGTACAAAATGCTAGTGATTTGCTGATCAAACCTTTGGAAAACTTTCGGAAGGAGCAAATAGGGTTCACCAAGGTAAGGCTTGATTGTTTGTTTATTTATTTTTAATGCAAACAGATTTGTTTTCTATGTTTGAATTCAGGTTTTTTTCCTGTTTGTTTGTTGTTTTTTTTTTTTTTAAAGTAGACAATTGTTGTACTCATTTTCGACTTCATGCTTTCAGAAACTTCCCCATCTAATGCTGCCTTTCAATTGCTGGCACAAGAGAGTCCGTGCTGTGACTCTTAGTCTGATTTTTCAATCATAAGAGGCTCCAAAACCTTTTCCTGAATTCTTTGCGTTCTCTTCTGGCCTAATTCCAGCACTGTCTCCATCCTGATCAAGGAGTGCTTGTTTCGACCAGTGATCAGGAGATACTTCTTGCTTCTTTCTCTCTTTTCCCCTTTGTTCATTCAGTGCTGTTGGGAATAAAATACTTTCTTTGGGTAAGTGTGTGTTAGAGCAGGAGGGAGAGAGAGAGGGAGAGGAGCAGAGGCCAGCAGTCAGAACTTGATTATAGTCATAGGGCTTTTGTTATGAAATATTTAAATAAAGCATCTAATGAGTCTTTCAGATGGACCAAACTTTTGAAGAAACAAACTATAAAAAGCAAATCCTGCACATGTTGAGCAGAGAAGATTATTTTTCCCTTGTCTGCTATCAAGGAGTCCAGGTTCCACATTACTCGGCAGCAGCTTGAAATGGGGCTGGCTCTGAACCAGCTCAGAAATGGAGATGTTTTGGAGAACACTTGGGGCTTGGATTCAGCCCAGCCCATCTGGAGTCTTTGACGTTTAATAAATACAGGATTTGAGGAACGATACTTGATCACGATCCTGCCCTGCAGAATCCCCCTGTACACGGTGCGTGTAGAACGCCTCTCTGAGAAGCCACAGCAGCATGAGCATGGCGAAGGCAGCGGCCACGGCCGTCGGTCTCGTGCTGGCAAAGCTGCCTGCGCTTCCAGGGAAAGCCTCCTTGCCATCGGGTTTTGCAGCAGACCTCTGTGTTATGAGCACATGGACTTGCCCAGGGCTGAGAGAAAATTCCCCCAGGATTGATCTGCCTGCATTAACAGCAGGGCCAGCATGTATTTAGAAAAGAGTTGTGGGGACAAGGTCAACTTTATTTTTCCTCTCTGTGTTTATGGAACACTTAAGTCAAGAGGGCAACAGTCTGCAAATTTTTAGATGACAGTATTAAAGTGTCCTTCAGGCTGTGACAGTATTAAAGTGTCCTTCAGGCTGTTTTCTTTTCGGGTAGCCCTTAAGGTGTCTGAGGATTACTTTGTCTACAGCCTGGAGTGCTCTCTGCTCCGAGAGCCGTGCTGCCTCCCGCCCATGGGTCACGTACCCTGCCTCCTGCTCTGGTGCCGCTGGTGCCTGGCTGGCAGACATGTGTCTTGGCATGGTTGGTGCCGTAGCCCTGTCAGCGGGGGGCTCTGAGTGCTGACACGGATTCACCTGGCAGCCTACAGTCCTTCCTCGGTCCCTGCTGACGGGGCAGGATACTCTGGGTGGAGGCGTCGGGCAGCGACTGTGGCAGGACACAGTTAAGAGAGGTGGCAGAGGGTAGGGATTCGTTGCAGGTGGCTTGGCTTTGGGTTTTGTTTCTTAGGAGGAACAGGAACTGCAAAGGTGTCAGGGTATCTCAGTGAGAGGAGGGCTCTACCATGGCTCAGCAGAAATGCTCGCGTGCAGGGGAACGCTTTGCACCCCACCGCATTTGCAGGCACACCCAACTGACGGGTTGCACGGGGAGGTAACGCTTTCTCCAACACTGCCCCACAGCCTTGAGTGGATGCGAGTTTCAGAGTGAGCCCCAGCCTGCTCCAGACCCTTGCTCTCACCTCCGATACTTTCCTGACAGGAGCCCGCGCTACTTCGCTGGCCCGGGTCCCGCTGGGCTGCGTTCTCTGGGTATCGCCTCGGGCACAAAGCCTTCCTTCACTTGCCAGCCTGCAGAACTCCTCTGGGTCATTCGCATCCTTCAGCAGAATGTGTGAAATACAAATGAGGTCCCCTCACAATGGTGCTCTGTCAGCGAGGGGTCTCTCTCCATTTCTGCTGTGCCTCCACTGACTGGCATCACTTGAGTAGATCCTTCCTGATTTACACCAGGGGGAGAGAGGCCGGGGCCAGGCTGTGGAGCAGACCGGAGACATGACACAGAGAATTTGTGCCCTCTGCTTCATTTCCCATATTTTGGCAGAGTCGCCTTCTGTGAGATGTTTTCTGTTCTCTTTGCGAGATGCTGAAGCCAGATAGGAAGAGCCTTTGAATTGGGTCTTTGTGATGACTCTGGCTGGAGAGCAGCCAGTCAGTCTGACTAAGACATCTGAGTCTGCATTAACCCGTTTTCCCAGGGATGAATGGAGTCTCGTCTGTCAGATGATGTGCTCCCACACAGGCCAGCCCCCGGGGTGTCGCTAGGACCCATTACAGCTGCCCCCCTCCAGCCACCTTCCCCTGCTAGCTGCAGACACGTGCGTTCGTTGCTCTTCCCGTGACTCGTGGGTAAACGTTGGTATGTATAGACATCAGGAATATATAGACATCAGGAATAAAAGCAGAGGATCTGGGATCCCCTGAGCTGACTCTTTTCTCAGCCCTGGCCCTGGCACCTTTCTCTGCTTGAAAGCAGAAGAGCCAGTGAGAGTTCCTGGCTGATTTGGTGAGTGTGTAAAGGAACCAGTGAAATCAGGACTGCTGCGAGCGCAGGGAAGGGCACAGATGGTATCAGGGAGGTGCAGGCATCGCTTAAGGGAGAGAGCACATGGGGTAGTCTACTTTTTCATTTCCCATTAGCTGACGTTCGTGGCTTCAGCTCACACTGTGGGCAAGCTCTGGTCTGGGGTTGGGGTACTGCCATTAAGAGCCTTGCTGCAGTCATTAAGTTTAGGAGGATTTGAATAGAAGCTTCATTCCAGTTCCACTTGGAAGGAGAAAACTTTTTTTAAAACAAAACAAAACAAAACAAAACAAAAATGAAAACACAATGCAGAACAAAACAGTCAGAGGGGAAAAACTTCTTTGGACTCATTGTAAGCTGAGGGAGGAATGTTTACTATGCTCTGGGAAGCTGAATAAATGCAGTGTTTTTCAAAAAGTTCTTACGTAGGAGATGACATGTATTCCTAAAAGCACTTAGTTAATTCTGTTATTAATATTTCATTAATAATAGTTTTAAAAGAAAGGGAGGACAGTAACTTCTACTTGCTTTCCTCTCTGTGGGAGCAAGATCTAAGGAGCATTTGAGAGGATGCAGTGGGTGAGGGAATAAGACCAGGCTAAATTGAGTGTAGTTTCATAGAAATGCTCTTTCTATGCCCCTCAAGAGCTCTTTAGTTTTTAGAAATTGTCTTTTGTTGTATTAACTGTTGATGCATCATAAAAATTAGTTAAACTCAGGCATGAAGTATTATTTTCCATAGGAACATATTTATCTTTTTCCAGTTTCTTCCCTCCGCCGTTTGCCAGACAAGGCTGCAAGCCAACGCAGAACCTGCCGCCCACCTCGCTCCTTCAGCTCCACTCCAGCAACAGCTTGTGATTTCCCCAAACTTATTCGGGGCTGGAATTTGTTTGGTGCTGTCGTCTTTATCAAGTGATGGTGAACACATTTGTGTTCGTTACTGGGCGTCCATGTTGTGAGTGTGGTAGCTCTGCTGTGATTTCAGCAGAATTATTGTTGCCTGCATCAAAACAGAGTGTACTGGGGCGGGAAACACAGCAGAAGCGGCTTAATTTAATATTTATGGGCTTTGAACGTGTGGTGTTTCCCAGGCTCTACTCAGAGCCAGGTTGCAGCTTTGCTCTGAGGAGGCAGCGGGGACAGGGATGTGCAGGCAGAGGCAGGCAGAGGGGAGCTTTGGGAGCACTTGGCACCGGCTGGGCGCCCATCTCCCATTCGTGGCCTGCTGCACATCCTGCTGGGCACTGATCCTCTGCCCAAACCCCTGCAGGTGTGTTCAGAAGTGGAGGCTCCCAGCAGGCAAAGTGTGTCTTGTTTTGTTTTTCTTTAAGGAGAAGTAGCCACGTGACCTGAGCTCCTTGCCTGCAGCTCACTCTGCCTCTTCTAGGACAGGAATTTCAGAGGATCCTAATTAGTAACTAGTGGTTAAGGGAGAGTTTTGGGAAGTCTGTTTGCCCCTCTCCCTGCAGTCCTTGGCTGCTCCATCTGTTGCTCAACTGAGTTGCTGCCAAGGGGCTCCAGCTTTGCCCTGTTCCTGGCAGCAGCAGCCGGTGTGCAGGGCAGGACCCCGCACACGCAGAGCTAGCCGAAGCTGCTGGTGGGTCGACCATGGGACTGGGCAGCCTGTGCTTTTCCGAGGACTCCTGCACATTTCTGGTTAAAGCAGCATCTGCCGAAGCTTAGAGAGCGAAGCTTTTGAGCGGCACCCTCCTTCACTGCTGCGTGGCTTTGCCTGCATTCAGGTGGAATTGGCTTGGTTTCTTTTGGTGAGCAAATAAATGAAAGTTGGGTGGCATCTCAAACTTTGCAAATGTTAGTGGGAAGGTAGTGCTGTCCTTTGCTGGATATTCATGAGGAACTAATTTGTGCTTCTGTTTCCAGATTGTGCTTCAGTCTGCATGGGGTTTTTGTGTTGTTTTTTTTGTCTTGGCTTGCTCTGTTCAGCAGCCAACAAGCTGTTAGAAGCCTTGGCTTGACAATTGGGAGGGATTTGTAGTTCATCCTTCTGCTTTTCCGTTATATGTTAATTAGCCAGAGTTGGAAGTGATTGGCAAGCCCCCTTTTGGTGGCCAAAAATGCTGTTTTGCACTGTGCTCCTGTCTGCACAGCAGTTCTCCTGCAGGAGCGCGCTATGCTTCACACACTGGTGTCCATCTTGGCCATCGTTTCTGATCCCGTCAATCCCCAGGGAGAGCTTGGCACTCTGCACTGCTGGCATGGCTGCGTGCCCTGGCCCACCCATGGGCGCTGGCAGAGGAGGATGCACTCCCTGAAGGAGCTGCTGGCTGGCCTCTGAGCTCCTGCAGCAGGAAAAGCTCTTCATTGCCCCTCAGGCTTTTTCTTTCTTTTCGCCTATCTTTTCCACTGCAGAGATAACCCTCTGCTGCAGGACAGGCCATGTCCTACTGCAAGGTGCTGCCCATGTGAGGTGGAGGCAGAGCTGCTGCGTGGGTCCCAGCTCATGGTCTGCCCTGCAGCTGTGGGCTTGTGGTCCTGTGGCCATCTGCACAAGCACCATGGCCACCCACAGCTCATGGTCTCCTTGCAGGCTTGTGGTCCTGCGGCCATCTGCATGGGCACCATGGCCACCCATAGCAACATCACCTCTCCTGGGGACGAGATGCTTATCTCCCAGGAGCCATGCACTCCCAGGCTGCTGAAACCAGAGGCACATCCCCCTGCCCTGCCCAGCACTGTTGCCCTGCCCGCAGGCTCTGCCATGCTTGGCCACGGCAGCACCAGGCTCCAGTGGGCAGCTGCTCCCTGCTCCCTCACCCCGCGCTTTCCCCCAGCTCCTGGGGCAGATAAGCAGCCGCCCAGGCACAGAGCAAATGGCAGAGGGTAGGAGAGGTTGGTCCTTGCTCTGGGCTGGAGCGTGGCTGCTGTCCTCCATGGCTGCTCCACCAGGGTGGGGACGGCTGAGTCACCCTACGCTTGCAGTTTGCCAGCATCTAGAGGCAGGACAGGATGCCTGGAGCGGTGCCTCAAGCGCAGGCATGTGCTTCAGCCCCTCTGCTGCTGCACCTTCAGCTGCTTGCCTGTGGGTCCTCTGAGGAGTGGGGCTGGCACCATCCCTTGCTGTGCTGAGAGACCACTTCTGTGTGCCACCTCTGTGGGTTTAGGTGGGCTCTTGTCGGTTGGGTTCAGAGCTAGCTTTCTGTCACCAGGGGGATTTTGGGACCTGCTGCCAGCACAGCCATCCTCTCTGAGATGCAAGAAGCCTGCAGCAGGAGAGGTGTGAGCTGCGGACCTGCAGCACTGCGTCGGCCGCCAGTGCACTCGGTGCAGCTGCTTTTCACTGCGCTTCGGTGGCCTTGCTGTTTGGTGACCCCTCGTTACAGAAATGAAAACAAGCCTTTGGTTCCTGGCTGTGTTAGATGTGGCATCTAACGGCACAGACAATCCAGAATTGTGACCTTACAGACATGGTAACTGCTGCTTCGCAAGTGCTGTTGCTTCTCTCTGGGTTTGGATTTGCTTATCAGGGTGTTGTTAGTCACGAGGGTGGTGTTTTGTTTTGACAGTCCTTCCTGGCACCGGCTCTGCAACTGCAGTGCTGCTTAAATTAGGTTTCACTCTCGGAGGACTCTCTGCTCCTCTGGATTTGATAGGGATCTCTTTTTATTCTGAGGCATGAATTTGCTAACATGGAGTTACTGTATGCCTGATGTTGCAGAGGATGATGCCAGAAGATATGCTTCCCTGCAGGGGTCTTGTAGTTACACGGTCTATGTAGGGCAGTAGGTATAATTACTGGGGTGAAAAGGTTTGCTGGTCCAAGTCTGCCCTACTCCAGTTAAATGTAAGCAGGGATATTTGAGTTGGTGCCTCTGTATTTTTCCATGGTAACTGTGCTTTCACAAAAGCAATGTGCAAGGATTAGAGATTCTCTTGTGGGGTAAGAAATCCTTTTCGTAGGAAGGCAGCTGGCAGTACTACCTGTCCACCCTTTGTCTGAGGTGCCTCTAAGGAACTGGTGTCCACTGACATAAGCCAGGGTGCTGACGGCAGGCTGCTGCTGCAGCAAAGGCTGGGGTGGCTATTGCCAGGAAACCTGACCCAGCTCTTGCGTGTGAGTGCCTTTGCCCTCCTCTGGCAGCTGCTGCCCACAATGGGTAACGTGGGGAGCTGTGCAAGCTTCATGTGCGCCAATAAACAATGTATGAGTGTCTCCCTGTGGGTGCCCACCAGAAAATAACCTTTCTTCTTCCAGAGGCAATGTGGCAGTAGCCGCTATGAGCAAGGGCCTGAGAAGAAAGCGGATGGTTAGGTGGGGGCTAAGCGTGCTGAGCCAGAGTACCATTTTGGGGAGCCCCCAGGCATCATGCTGTGTAGGACATCCCGTTAGACAGACTGAATAGTCTGTGCAAGTGGAATGGGGAAGCAAAACTTCATGTCAGGAGAACCAACTAAAGAAAGATGAAGGATTTTATTTAGGAAATGCAGCTTCAAACTTGGCAGTCACTACTGAATTCATGAAGAAAGTAACTGATGTCCAGCAGTCTGGCAGAATCCATCTGCTCTGTTTCATGGTGGCATTGGGGTGTGTTTGCTTATTCGTGAATTTCTGAATGAGGGCAAGAGAACAGGATTTTAGCGCTTTTAGTAGATAATCGTTGAAAGATAACAGTAATTCCACAGGAGGCTGGGATTTCCTAAATCTGCTTTCCACTTTCTTGAGCTTTCAAAAGCCAGACAGAGGATGTGAGTATCATACAGATACCCTGTAGTACGTATACAGTGGTCCTCAGCTGCTTGGACCTGGCATTGAGGCTGCTGCCAGGCTGGAATTTCCTTATTTTAGCAATTTAACTCCTCTCAGCAATCACTGATGGCTCAGTTACCATCTGATGTGGGTGTTTGTCAACCTGCTCGTGGTTGTTTCTTGGTTGCCACAGTCCTCTGTGGTTTCACAGTCATTGGAAGGCATAAGCAAACAGCCTGGTCCTCAGCTCCTCCCTGCGTTCTCTCTGGGTTTTGTTCTTAGTTCTTTGTTCTTCTCTTTCTGCTCTCATTTACCCTTTCAGGTTTGCCAGTGCAAACAACTCTTTCTTATAGTGGTTCCTTTACAAAGTCTGTTTTTTCTTAACAAATCAGTCCAGACTTCATATTTGCATGCCTGTGGTAGGCAGGTTTGGGATACACAATAGGTCAGTAAGAACCAGACCATCTGCAGGGGACCTCCAAGAGGTGAAGCCTTCACATGGTGTGTTGCAAAACAGGCATGTTTGAGTCAGCGTTCACCTGGGCCGTGTTCGGGCTGGGCGCTATGCAGTAAAACTTGGATGAGTTTTGAGTGCAAGGTTTGTGATCTCTCTTTCCACCACTGCTGATAAAGAGACGATGACTTACATGTTTCACCCTTCCAGTCTTCTGCTTTCATTATGATACTTTCCAGAAACACGTGATAAAAGCTTCAAAACAGAAAATTGCCAAACTCTTGACAATTCTTTTCTTATCCTGGACATGTCTTTGACATTAAAGTATTTGCCCAGTTGTTTCTGAGCTGTGTGACCAGCACACTAGCAAATGGTGAATAGGTTTTTGATGTATTAGTATGTCTTGTTTACTTCACATTGAAGAGAGTGAAAGGGGGAACAATACCTCATCGATGGGGCTTTTGCCACAGTGCTGACATGATTCAAGTGCCTGTTCCACCAAGTATTGCCAGAACTTAATCTTGAGGTGTAAGTAAATCCAGTGTAGGCAACGGACTGTGAAAGCAGAGCAGATGTAAAGCGGCCTCCTGTTCTGGTTGGGTCGATAAGAAGTTTTCCATGGGAACACTGAATTGCGCAAAAGGTCATGTTGTTGTGTGTTCTTACCTAGAAAAAGCCAATAGCTGGTTCTGCTTCAACTTTTGCATCTACAGGAAAGAAAGAAGAAGTTTGAGAAGGATGGTGAGAAGTTTTATTCCATGCTGGATCGCCATTTGCATTTGTCTTCCAAAAAGAAGGAATCCCAATTACAGGAGGTGTGTATGGAGTTCCTTCAGACTTGCATCCAGAAGCAACAACACCACCAGCTGCTCTAGATCTTAAAAAAGGGGAGAAAATCATCCCTTTCAGTAACCAGTTGAAATTGATAAGCAATTAAATCTACCTAAAGCCTGGATTCTCTGGATGAGACCAGGGAAATCAAGATCATCATTCTCCTTAGTGTGGTGAATGCTAGTAGTGGCTTTGTGCATCATCATCGCTTGTTCTCACCCTTATAGTACAGGGCAGTGAAGGGTTATACTGGCACAGCTGGGGATTGGCCAGCCTTTCACCTGGCTTGGGGAACAGATCTTGCTGAAAAAATAACAGGTTATTATTATTTTTGCCAGCCTAGTTTCCTGCTGGCTCCTGGTGTTTGAAGGGTGGTTGGGGCAGCATGCCCATGGTGGCAGTGAGCAGCAGGCGGAGGAGGGGGCTTTCCCTTCCAGCTGATGCTGCCACCAAACATGTTGCAACAAGAAAGGAAAACCCTGGCTGTGCCAGCCCACATCAGAGGAGCTGGATCAAATCAAGTCTGTCAAACTGGTTGTCAGATCAACCTGCCAAGCATCTTTGCAAGGCAAAGTTTGTGAGAGCTATGGTAACAGGACATGTCACGTTGTCCTGCCTGGTGCTGCGGCTCTAGAGTTGCTGGTTGCAGGTCGCAGCTGGAGTCAGGTGAGAGAATCCTGACAGTGGCCTTGTCCTCACCAGTGCAGGGATGTGGGTGGAGAAGGAGCTTATGCTAAAATAACAAACATGCTTTGGGAAGGCCTTGTCCTTGCAGAGTGGGGTGAGGTTCTGGATCCGTAAATGAAAGGGAGCCTGAAAAGGGCAGCCCTGAGAAAAATGGCCAATGTTCCAGTCTTCTGATTCTGCACAAAGTGTTCAAATCCTGGGCTGGACACCTTTGGCAGGCTTTTTCCTAAGTGAGGACAGAACTATTTGTGGGCTGACAGACAAATGCTAGTCAAATACTGTCAAGCTACATGTGATGTATTTTGTTTTTTTCACCTCTCCCTCTTCCAGGCTGACCTTCAGGTTGACAAAGAGAGACACAATTTCTTTGAGTCCTCCCTCGAGTATGTGTACCAGATCCAGGAAGTACAGGAAAGCAAGAAATTCAGTATTGTTGAACCAGTGAGAGCTTCCTTTCCTTTCAGGCCATGTTGTTTGATGCTTACGTATGCTGACTGGCTGACAGTCAGAGGAAGGGATGAGTTACCAGATTGGATTCGGTTCTGGGGAGTCTTGTGATGGAGCAGGAGCTAACCTTCCACACTTGGATTGCTGCAGTTTAGCTGGAGCACCGTGAAGCCACAGACTTGTTTCTCATGTCTGTAGGTTGATACTAAGCAACAGACTGGATACTGTAGGTAGCTAGAGGTCTTGTTATGAATTATCTTGGACACCTTGTGTTTGGTAAGCATTGGCTGTCTTCAGAGGGAGAGACCTGTTATCTGGTCCACTTACCTGGCACGGCATGAGCTACAGTGGTACCAGGTCGTGCGTATAGGGACCCTGCCCTGGGTGGGTGGCTCTGCCCTGTCACCAGACACGGTTGAGTGTGGGATCGTGTCAGTCCCATAGACGAGCAATCTGCAGATCTGCTCTTGTTCTCCCAGCAGTGTCTGTCATTTTGGATGTGTTTGATTAAGAGATGTGTGGGTGGTAGACCTGGGCTTTAGGGACATTGTGGTGGATAAGTCATCCTAAAACTTGCATCATTCCAAAATTGTAAGAAAAAAAAAATACATTTTTATATGTAATTTCTGAAATTGTTTCCTGTCTATCTTTTTCCTCTGATTATAAATATACCAGAGAAGTGTAATCTGTGTCCTTCTCTCCTTTACAGGTGCTGGCTTTTCTTCACAGCCTCTTTACTTACAACAACCTGACTGTCGAGCTCACGCAGGATTTCCTTCCTTATAAACAGCAGCTTCAGCTCAGCCTGCAGAATGTGAGTTCCTGCCTGGCTGAAGAATTTTTTGCATGTGAATTCTATTCTCATTTGTATTTAAACGATGACTAGGCTTTTCCATGCAAAATAGACTGTCCATGTTTGCATTGTGGGAGGTGCAGATAAAGTTATTTCCTTCTCAGTTCATGCATATTTTCTCCTGTCCTGCACAAGAGAGTCTGCAGGTGCTGTTGTAGTGTTTTTCAAAAATAACAGGTTCTGTCTGAGAGGGCTGTTGCAATGGTATCATGTAATCTTGTGCATAAACAAGCCTGAGAATTTCTTCCAATTTAATGAGGTTGAAATTGAAGACATCTTCTAAAAAGGCTTCCAATCTTGATGTTAGTAGGTCAGCTTTCTTCCTTTGGTAAACTCCTCCACTGGCTAAGTATACTCGTGGGATAAAATACCTGTGCCCTGTTTCTTTTATCCTCGGTCTTTCATGTCGCTCGTTACCATGGAACAACAGCCAAGTCTGTGCCAAGCTGAGTTTGCTGTTGGCTCATTAATTGGTCTAAGTGACATTCCGTAAAAATGCCTTGATTTTGAACCCATGTTGACGTGACTCTAAAAATTATTTCATGCCAAGCAGTGTTGCATGATCTTTTGAGGAATCAACGCCCTAGTTTTGTAGGAGAATACACGTGTTACCTGAACAACGGTGTGAAGAGGAGTTCAGGTGCTTCCTTCCACTCCACCTAGCCTTAAAATGTGCTAAGTTTCTTTTATTGAAAGAACAAGTCTCCTCCCTGTCATGACTCCTCAGCACCATTTCCATGCATGGTATGTTAAACTTTGTCTCTCCAATCATTTTTAAGAGCCCAGTGTTCTTGTAACTCGAGTTTTCAGGTGAATTTGTGGAGTGGCTTCCACATTTTATATGTTGGGGACTGATTCATTTCTGCCAGAGCACCTAAAATTTGACCAGGAAGGCCTGGAGCTTGCTCTTTGCTTATGTTCAAATGTACTACTTCTTGTTTTCTTTTAACAGACAAGGAATCATTTTTCCAGCACACGGGAGGAGCTGGAAGACCTGAAGAAGAGGATGAAGGAAGCCCCCCTAACCTGCAAGCTACCTGGGCAGCCGACCATTGAGGGCTACCTCTACACTCAGGAGAAATGTAATTGTTTTTATATGCACCTGAATGCGATAAAGAATGTGTAAGCCTGGGCTCAGCCCCCCTGGTTGGCTCCTGTGCCCAGGCCAGCTTTAGCCAGAGGAGCACTGTGAGCTGTGCTGGATGGGGAATCACCAGCAACTTCAGCTGCCAGCTCTCTCAGCGGTGGCACAGAGTTTTTTCCGGGTTACATGAGCCGTGTAAGCAAGGAGCTAATTGCCCTGTGCTCAAATTAGATGAGATTTATTACTCGGTTGCAGCACTGAAGAGATCGGAGCTCTGGCAGATTGCACCTTGGCTGTGTTTTATCAAAACTAATCTGGTGTCCTGCCCAGCTTCCCTCTCGCAGCGTCTCTGAGGGCATCTGAGCACAGCTGAAGTGTTAAGCTGCTGAGAGTGAAACTTGATATTCTGTGCAGAATCAAATCAAACCAAATTCAGTCTTTTACAAATACTCACTGTAGCTTTCAATGGCCATGCAAACATGAACACTCAAGACAAAAGCCTGTGTGTAGAGCTGTGGCCTCTGAGTCTACAGACAACTTCCTTTGTGAGCAGTTAATTTGTTTATTATATATACAAATGTATTTATACATGTATTTGTACGTACGTTTGTCCTGATTTTAAAAGAAAACACATAGAGAATAATTTTAGACCACAAACATTGCATGTTGCTGCATGCCAATGACTGTTTGCTGCCTGTGTTTCCCCTATAAATCAAGTACGAAGAGAGTTGTTCCTCCTGACAACTGCAACTTAAAAACAAATTACAGAAAAAATATCCGTTGGAGTATTTCATATAAAGGGGTTCAGGTAAGACCACAAAAAAAAGTGACAATAAATCTAGTGTGATGTAAGTAGGAGCTTCACAGAGTTTTAGGGATGCTGTTGTCTTTACTACCAAGTTTTCATCAACAGGAAAAAATAGTGGTGTCTGTGTGAAACAAGCATTCAGGACACATACGATCCTGCCAGTGTAGGTTTTGGCTGCACTTGGCCAAACCAGCTTGGCGTGCAACCAGAGCCTCACAAATGCCCTTTCACCAGCAGTGTTTCGGGCGGGCGCTGGAGGCGGCTGCTGCCCTGCACTCCTCTCCTCCTCCTCTCCTCCCCTCCTCCTCCTGGCTCTTGCCAGTGGAGATGCTGATGAGGGAGGTGTCCCCACAGGGCTGGCGGTGTCCATCCCCAGAGAAGCCTGGAGATGCGGGAAATGCCGGCCGTGCCTTGCTGGCTGTGTCCAACTAAGGCGCCATCTCTGACTTCAGCTTCCTGTGTGTTTCTGCAGGGGCACTGGGCATCTCCTGGGTGAAATACTACTGCCAGTATGAAAAAGAGGCAAAAACCTTACGGATGACACCCATGGACCAGAAGCCTGGAGCTAAGCAAGTGAGTTGGTTTCTTGGAGGGATGTCTGCGAACATTGACCCAGCCTTCAGGCAGGTCTCACCTTCAATCTGCCCACGTCATCTCTTTTCGTAAGCAAATAGACACACAAGTGCCATGTCCGGGGCAGCAGAGGCCAGCCCTGCTGTCAGAAGCCCTTGTCTGGCAGCGCCAGTCCTCAGGGCCTGCCGGCCGTGGCCTGGGTCCTGAGGCAGTGGCTGTCGTTGGGCTCCTGGCCACGGAGCAGAGGGGTGGCCTTTGTGTCCCCTCCCTACCTGGCCACACAGGCGGGTGGTTTGGTGCGACCTGAACGAAGCACCTCCGTGAAGAGAAGTTTCACCTTCCTCTCTCCCAAATGACCTGAAGCCCTGCAGGGTTTGGCAGCAGAGACACAGGTTCATGTGACATGACTGTTATTTGGGCAGTGGTGACTTGCAAGTTTGGTCCAGTGTGAAATTTCTGACAAGCTAATTTTTATATTTATTTATGCAAAGGGGCATTGAACCTGCAGCCTGGTTTGCACGTAGGCCTCTGGCAGTGATTGCAAGTACTTGAATTACTCGTTATTAGGCGGGTGCTTCCAAAAGCAGTATTTCTCTGCCTTTGCATGTTCACACAGTCACTGATTTGTGATTTTGATTCCTGTTCTCAGAACTGGTTGCATGTGAGTGGGACTGGTGTTAGAGGAGAGGAGGAGAGGGCAGTGGTTTCAGCTCTAAACGGCAGTAAGGCAATGATGTAGGGAACTGCTTCCTTCACAAAATGCTTTGGTTTTCACCAGTGTGCCTGGGAGTTCCCTGCAGTTCCTCGTCATGACAAAGGAGGGGTAGAATGCAGGCGTGGATGATGGAGTACAGCAAGTGCATCCAGCTGAGTCCACCCTCCCTCCTCTGCCATGGAGTGACATCCCCTAGGGACTTCCCAGTCAGGCGTGCTGTTCTCCAGTTCGTGATCTCATGGTCTGTTCTTTGGCAGCTCTCTGCACACTGCAGCAATTAAATAAAATGTATTTTTGTAAGCCCTTGGCAAAGAAATGTCCAAAACACTGACTGGAGAGATCTATTGTTATCTATGCTGTAAACATGTCTAGTAAGGCAAATTAATACAGGGTAGGGGTTTGTAAAAGTGTAAATTAGTCCCCTTCCCAAACTCCTGCAGTCTGGTACTCTGCACCTTCAGGACACAGCTTCAAAAACCCCAAACAACCAGCACACAAAGGAGGAGGTTACCATCATGGTAAGCTGGATGTAACCTTGGAGGAGGCTGTCCTTGCTGCTGGGCTGTCCTGGATCTGCTTGGTCTGCTTCTATCAGAGGTGTTGCAGATGCAGCAGCAGTGACAGTCAGGGTGATGAACACGTTCCAGGTTTGCAGCCCTAGGGTCTGCTTGGTTGTAAGCACTCCTGAGCATCTCTTCAGAGTTTCTGCAAAGTCATAGAGATCTCACGATCACGTTACACTTTGACTCTGCTGTAGAGTCAGTTAATGCCCCTTTATTAAGGGGCACAAACACAAAGAGCCAGAGCTCAGCCCCATGGTGCTGGCCTTTCATCAGAGTGCATTTACCCTAGATTTGGTCAGTTAACATTCTTTTTCTACAAGATATTTTGTGTAAAGGTGTTTGGACCATGAATGCTATGGATAATTGGTAGCGCTGATCAGCCCTGAGGAAAATTAGGACCAAAGTGTGTCGGATAACAGACAAACCTGGTCCTGGCCTCAAAGACCAAGTGACTGCCTCGTGAGGTTTGTTTATAGCAGTGTCCAGCTCTGCGGAGGTGTATTGCTTGTTGCTGAGATATTTAGCACATGTTTGCAGGGTAGTACCATGAAGTCAGAACATTTGTGGCTGAGGAGAGGAAGCCTGGCTCACAAAGCTTTGATCTCTGTCTTTGTTGATGGTGGGAAGGCCTGTCTGTGCTCCTGGTACCAATGCTATCAGATTGGCACCTGCCGGGAGCCTGGTGCTTGAGGGGCAGTGCCGTGCTGGGCTGCAGCCTAAAGGTGCTGAGGAACCTGACATATTCTCCTGTGCTTCTTTCCTCTAACCTTGGCTTTCATTTTCTCTCCTAGGGCACTTTAGACCTGACGCTGAAATCCTGTGTAAGGAGAAAGACAGACTCTATAGACAAAAGGTTTTGTTTTGACATTGAAACTAATGAAAGGTGAGGCGCTTGGTATTCCAGTGGCCTCCAAACCCTGTAAACCTGGATGAAATTGCTCTTTGCTGTTTATTAAGAACAACTTTTGCTTCATTTTCCCGCCTGCCTGTGGGTGAACTCTGCGCAGGTCTGGGACCATCACACTGCAAGCACTCTCAGAAGCCAATCGACGGTTGTGGATGGAAGCCATGGACGGGAAGGAACCGGTAAGTGCTTAAGCAGCTGATGCCCAGCCGTGAATATGCTGCCGAGCAGTGTCCTCTGCTGGTGGGTCCTGGGGAAGAGCAGTGACACAGCCACGGGGGAGCTCCTTCTTATGGGTGTCACCTCCGTGCTGTGGCTTACTCATAAGTCAGGCATCAGTTCAGCCACTGCACGTCTGAAATGGGGTTTTGTACTCTTCTGCTTGTGGCACAACTTGCAACGGGGATGTTGTTTTCCCCCTTTAAAGCTCTGGTATGTTCCCTAGTTGTGCCAGGCTGCTGGAGGACTGCGGCCTTACCAAGTCTGGAACGCTCCATGTTTGTGTTGCTCACAACCTGTTCTTCCACCTGTGGAAGATTATTTTTTTGTCTGTCCCTGCTCTGAGCAGCAGTTGGAAAGTCCAGCCTGTGGGAGCAGCCACCCTGCGGTGGTGTTCACCCCCCTTGCTGTGCCTGCTGGTGTTTCCTTCCTGCAGCCTGAGCAAAGCCCAGGCTCCTACATTTTACCAAATTTCCTCTAAAGAGACAGTGTGAGGTGCAGTGTGGGAAAACCAATTCCTGACAGCTCCCCTTGTCTCTGGCAAGCTGCCTTTCCCTCGTGGGCTCGGTGAAGAGGGTGGGCAGTGAGTGTGCCTGCTGGGCTGCGCAGGGCTCTGTGGCTGCTGATGGGGAGGTGGGACACAGGCACTCTCCGCAGCACTGTTCTCCTACTTGTTTAAAGAGGAAAGGAGGTGGGATAGTGTGGAGGGTCCTGTGCTCGTGCTGGGCAGCCAGTCACTTAGGAGATGCCTGGGGCTCACTCGGTTCACATGATGTGTTATTATATATGAAGTACTTTTGATTTTCTATCAAGAAGGGCACCTGCTGTTTATTATTAATAAAAAAATACAAGATGTATTTTTGTATGGGATGAAGGAATGTCTTGACACTTGAATTGTTAAAAGCAAGCAAACAAACAAAAAAGCCCCAGCCCTTGTGTGCCAGACTGTCCAGCTGCCTTTTTTACAGGGCACCTAAAGGACAAACAAAGTTTCCTGTTCCACTTTTGAGACCTCTTTTGTAGAAATAGGTGCTCCAGTGAAATGTAGGAAGTCAACAGAAACTCATTGTGTAGATAATGGTATCTTGCGTAATTATAAAATGATGTTTCTTTGGGACATTGTCTTACTGCTTGTGACTGGCTTTGAGTGATTAATGGGGTGCTGCATTTTCTTTTGGAAATAAACATCGAATCACGTTGCATTATGTTTTTGTTTCTTCCTCCTCCATTCCCTCCCCTTTTTCAGATCTACCACAGTCCCATCACAAAACAGGAGGAAAGTGAGTCGTTTCTGTTGCTGTTCCTCTGAGCTGCCGAAGCTGTCCGGAGGTCGGGCAGCATATTTCCTTGCACAGACACTCGTCCTCGATTTCTGCTAAATAGGCTGTGTTCTCCCTCCACAGTGGCGGTGTAACTTGTTTCGTTTTCATCCCAGTGTCTGATACTGAGGCCAGATAAGAATGAGTTGCAAATGGTAAAAGTTATCAATTGCAATGTGCAGTTTTTATTTAGCAAGAACTAACAGGATGTGGAGTTCAGTTTACACCTCTAAACCCCAAAATAACAGAGGGGAAAAAAGATCAGTGAGAGATTTTGAGGACATTTCCTTTAATAAAGATTATGAGAGGAAAATAGAGGTGGCAATTAGTTCCCTGGAGCTCTCATCCGACCTTCTTGTCCTGTGTCTCCCCTTTCACAAGCCGGGTGTACCCAACCCGCTGCCCCTGCAGCCCCAGGGCAGGCTGAGCGTGCACTGCAGTGGCTGAGCTGTGGAAGATGCTGGGGCTTTGTTAGCTGGGTGAAAACTCACATTCTGTATCTTAGAGCTTACTTTTATCAACACTTTAATTAGCTGACTTTAATGAGTGTAGAGGTGGCATTATCAGAGACATAAGCATGAAACCTGTTATTTGACTACGTTTGCATTACACACCCAGAAAGAACTTGGTGTTTCACAGAGTAAATACACTCTATGTTTAACAGATTAAAGCTAGAAAGGCTTCAAGTCACATTCTGCCACTCAGTACCAAGTACCAAGTGGATCTGTGCTTAATGGTGTCTTTACTCATTCTTGTGTCAGATCTAAGACATGTCTGAGCTTTTCATCGCTGTTGCTCAGAGAAGAGAGAACCATTATAAATGACTTGCTGAAAATACAGTGGTTTCAGAGGACTGGGCAACGTGGCCTGTGCTGTGACTGGAGTTGGTCCAGATGTGTCCTGTGGCTGTTTTTTCCAGCAAAATGTTGGTTTATGTTAAAAAGATAAACAAAAAACCAAACACCCCCACTCACCCCAAATAACCAAAACTCAAAAAGTTCCAAACTAACAACAGCGTGGTCATTTAGGAAAAATTAGATATCCAGGAAAAATTCACAGAAGTAGTAGTGTGGTTACAGAAGTTGAACTATGTGTATAGAAAAAAATCCCGACTTTCTACCTGCTTCATGATGCCTGCAAGAGAGGCACAGGGATAGTCTGTGCTTAATTGGCTGGAACAAAAACCTGTGTTGTGCTTTACTCAGCATATCAAACTGTATTGGTTTTGATCTAGTCAAGTAGATAAGCAGAAATTACACGATCCTGTGATGTGGAAGAGCTTTAACTGCAGGTTTTGCAGTGCTCTGGAAATGATTAATCATCATCTCCTTATCAGACAGAAATTCACATGTGGCAGGACTCTAATTTATGCTTTTATCATTAAAGATAGAGGGTAAGGAGCAGTGCTGTAACTCAAAATAAATTCAAGGGAAAATGAAGAACATATGGAACTAATAACTCCTTGTCAGGATTTAAAGAATGCCTGTGTTTACATGGAGGGATGTACATGGTGCAGATGTATGCTGGGGCACTGCAGCTGTGTGTGCCGAGCAGGGTCTGGGGCTTTCCCAGTCATTCCCCACAGGGAAGCCCTGTGCTGGGGCTCGGGCAGCTAACCCTGCTTCTCTTGTTTGAAACAGTGGAGCTGAATGAGGTTGGCTTCAAGTTTGTACGGAAGTGCATCAACGCAGTGGAAACGAAAGGTGAGGTGCTCGCCCGGGCACGAGGAGGTGCCGCTGTCCTGGTGCTGCTTCCCTTGGCCTTGAATTATATTGTATTTTCTGCAGTATAGTGGTGTTTGTTGACTTTTAGTTAGTTTGACTTTTAATTGAAGAACATGTGTCAGAGGAGCAGTGCTCCTTTACAGTCCAGAATGTTATACCAAGTTCTGGTTAGGATTGGATTTCCACGTTTATGCTGTTTTCATTCATCAGTTCCTCATCTTTGGCTCTGAGAAAACTCCTTGTTAAGCAGAAGCAGAACAGGTCTGGAAGTCTCTCTGTACTGGGGGGACAGGCATGTGTTAATGGGGGTACAGGGTTCTTCTGACCCCTTTTATTAAAAGCAGCAGAGCAGAACCAGGCTGGTGGATGCTACCTCACCCTTGCCCAGCCCGTACCAGTGCTCATTGCCAGCATGGGCTACAGGACGAAAATAAATCGCCCCAGAATGGCTGCATCCCCCAGAACGGCTGGATCCCCCGGCTGCCTCAGAGAAAGGCAGCTGGTTTCATCTCTAGAGCTTTGGGGAATGTGGCCAGCCAAGCCCCCTGGGGTGGGGAGGAGCCGGATAACGAGACCCTCGAACAGATACAGCAGTTGCCTTTCCTAACAGTGGTTAATACTTTCAAAGAGTCTGCTTACATGTGTTTGCCTTCTGTGACAATTTGAACAAATTTGTGTTAAAGCAATGCAGTTTCCAGAAGTGGTGTGTTTGGGCAGGGAGGGCTTGCCAGCCTCGTGTCCAGCGGTGGCCTGGCCACTACCCCGTCCAGCAGCAGCCCCTTGCTGGGTGCAGCCCGGAGTGTCCTGGGCCAAGGGCGTTTCGGCAGAGCCAACAGCCGGGAGAGGCTTCCACTAGATGGGGCTTGTGGCTTTTCCTCTGCTTGGGCTCGACCGCGGGCTAACGCTGCGGCTTTCTCCTGCCCAGGGATCACTACGGAGGGCATCTACCGGACTGTTGGCAGCAACATTCAGGTGCAGAAGTTGCTGAATGCCTTTTTTGGTAAGAATTCATTATTCCGTGCAACTAGATTGTCCTGGATTTGTATTGTTTAGGAGGGACAGAGAGGACTGGGTTTCACAGTGAGAAATGTCCAGTGTCGGTTTTGGTCCCTGTGGACCCTCAGAGGCACATCTTTCCCTTTTCTGGGGTTTTTGCTGCAGCCAGCTCCCTTGAAACTGCATTTATGTGTTTGTGGTAAGACTTGCATTTTAAGTTCCACAAGCAGCAGCGAGATAAAGTGAGGCAGTGACCCTAGAGCAGTGGAGACAAGCCTTCTCCCATCATGTGCTAAAAATATTCATCCATTTTGGCATCCTGGGGACACGTCCCTGCCACAGGCCCAGGGTGCGGGACGTTGGCCAAGGAGAGATGAGCCCTCGCCCTCTCGTCTCCTGCCTGCAGCCCCTCCTGCAGTGCTGCTGACAGGGAGCTTGCCCAGCTGATGTTGTTCGTGAGGAGGTGCCTTGTCCCACGGGTCCAGCACAGCCACCTTCTAAATCAGCCACCTCCTAAATCAGCCCCCACAGATGAGCTCAGGGGGACCCTTTTCCTCAGGAGGTATCACAGAAAGCTGTACTGGAAAAGTGGCCTCTGCAGTGAGGCCGTTACCCTGGCTCAAGGTTTTCACTCAGAAGGACTGGGATACCTTGCTGTATGCAATGTGTACATTAATGTTTGCATTTCTGTTGTAAGCCTTTCTGTGCACTGAATCATGCGTTTCAGACAAGCGTGTGAATTGGTGGGTAGTCTCTGTAGGAGGAACAGTTAAACTCCCTGCAGCAGGCTCTGGGGCTCAGCAGCGTTGCTCCCTGGCTGGGACCTGGCTGAAGCCAGTGTGCCCCTGCCCCGTGGCAGGTGTGGGCCAGGGCAGGCTGCGAGCCCCTCCAGTGAGCCAGAGGGTCCGTCTCCCACCTGCCTGAAGCCTGAGCTGTTCTCGCTGTCCCTGCCCAAGGGGCTGGGGCAGAACGTATGTTTACGTCAATACCTGTGTGCCTTGGGCTTGCACCAGCTCCTTGCACAGGCATCTGATACTAATGTCATGTTCGAAGGCTTTTACTGTTGTTTTTTACTATTGTTTACTATTGCTTTTACTATTGTTGTTGTTTATTAGAATGGCTGGTTTGTGCTGACCTATAGCTGTACCCAATTCCCATGGGTATATTCCCACAGCTTCAGACAGCTATCCGGTTACACTTGCTTGATGACTAATTACTCAGCCTACATTTTATTGCATCTTGATTCTCACCCTCCCTGTGAGTAGCTTTGTGGTTTTCTTCTCTGAACCCCACCAGTGAGTGGCTTTTTGTTTTATTTATACGCATTGGTCTGGTTAACCACTTGCCATCCCACTGTGTACAAACTCAGATGGAAAGTCCACAGCACAAAAATAGCCACTGCAGAAGGATTTCATCCTGAACTTCCCTAAGGAGATAGATTTTTTTTTTTTCCCAATTATTTTTTTTGTCGCTAATCCTGTTTCATTTTTAAAATAAACCATGCAGTTTATTTCTTTAGTCCAGCTGCCCCTAATCCTCTGACCATGTCCTTTACTTTGTCACACCACAGAAATGATGTGGTTGTTTGGCGAGGGTAGGCAGGAGCAAAGTATCCTTCCACGCTGCTTTGCCTCCTCCTCTGAGCTGCCTCCTGTCCCTGCAGGAGAGGGCATGTTTCCAGAACAGCCTTTAGGGGTGTAGCTGCAAGGGAGGAGTTGGAGCCGGACACTTAGATTACTTTGGATATCAGAAAGCTTGTCCTGGATCTGTTGAAACATGTCGATTCTGCCAGTCTAGGCTGTGCTGGGAAAAAACAAACTATAGAGAATTTGCCCTCACTAACTTTTCACCACTGCTTAAGTGTTACCTTCTGCTTCTTCCTTTGTCCCTAATTAGCTGCTCCTCAGCCTTTCCAAAATGCTGGTGCTGATACTGTTCTGCTTTTCCCGGCCGTGAGAATCAGCAGCTTCTTCATGTGCTGCTGTAGTTTCATTTGTCTTGAGAGCATACCCTCCCTGAGAGCATGCTGTTTATTAACTACCTCAAAATGGACCTTGTTTTAAAGCCATTTTGCTCTTCCTCCAGATCCAAAATGTCCAGGGGACGTGGATCTCCAAAGCGGCGACTGGGACATCAAGACGATTACCAGCTCACTGAAGTTTTATCTCAGGTAGCACTGCAGGTCGCACCTGCCCCGAGTGGGCAAAGGAGCTCGGGGCTGATCAAGGTGAAAAGCAGAGTGAACTGCCAGATGCTGACATCTGGCTGTGGAAAAGGGCAAAGAAGTGGCAAAGGCTTTGGGAAGAGGAATGTTGGGGGGTTTTTTCCGTTTTTCTTTTTTTTTTTTCTTTTTTTTGGAAAACATGCCTGTTGTAGAAACCCCACATGCTATGGGGAAAGCTGTTTAAATAATACTGTCTGGGGTGGAGATGCCACCAGGAACCGGTGGTGCTGGAGGGCAAGCAGATTTGCCCATCGGTCCTTGAAGATCAGTCGTGAATGGGTCGTGCTGCCCTGCCAGAGCTCAGTTTTCTTTCTGGTTACTGCAGGAACCTGTCTGAACCCGTCATGACCTACAAGCTCCACAAAGAGTTGGTCCTGGCTGCCAGTAAGTCCCGCAGCTGCCCTGCCGGTGGTCCCTAGTCCTACCCTCCCCACCCAGCGTACACCAAAATCACTTGACAGAACTCTGCCAGCATGACACCAGGGTGTCTGGCCACTTCCCCCTGCGGAAAGAGGAGTGACCCTCTCTTCTGAGTGCTTAATTGTGCAAGGGACGCAGTGGTATTTCCTTTTCTTTCCCTTGCTATAGCAGTGCTCTTCCGTCTAACAGGGTTTCATGCTCTTGGAGGGTCTGGAGAGCCAGGGGATGTCAACTAACCTGAAATTAGCACAGGTGCCCCAGAAGAATTGTTTCTCGATAGTATTAATATATTTATTTTAAAACTTGCAAGGGAATGGAATGTGCTGTAGGTGCTCCCTTTGGGTTGTGAAATTTGTCTTGGGCTGTTGAATCCAAAGTGTCTACCAGCACATGAAAGCCATAATAATTCTGAACTGGCTGCATCCTCAGAGCATGTTGAGAGCCAGCATGCTGAGATGGAGACTGGAGGCATACAGGGAGCTGGTCATCTCCCTCAGCATGAGAGTACTGGCATTTGGAAATGTATGGCATACACAGAAATGCTTTAGATTGAAGCAACCTTCACGCTACCATGCCTCCTTGAAATCAATAGGAGGGTGGGAGAGCGCCTGCCTCTCCTCAGTTCGGACCTCTAGGGAGTAAATAGCACTTGTTCTTTCTTGGAAAGGAAAGTTTTCCATCGCCTACTGATTGTCCTCAAGCCCAAGATTTATAAGTTTCGGAACTGGTTAAACCAATGATGGCTGGGTATGTGCAAAATCCTAATCCCTTCCCTACCCTCCCTCAGACACTTGCACCATTAAGCTTCCCAGCTACCAAGATCCCACCCTATTCTTTTCACACGGAGTATTTTATTGTTTCTTGATTATTTATGCTTCTAAGGGTGACCTCTTTGGGTCAGGGATGCAATTTTTTTCCCTGAAGGACATTTTACCACGTTGTTCAGTGTTACAGCTACCTGGGCTGATAAGGTACCCAGCAGAAAGGCCACATGTTCCCCAGGTGTCCTAGTGTGCAGGGTGAGGATGCAAAGGAGAGTACCTGGCCGTGCCCAGCCTGTTTCCCTGGCTGTGCTCAGCAGCAGAGTGTGACCCTGAGCTCCCTTTCAAGCTTCATTTCTCCCTCTTACCGCTTCATTTTGTTCCTCACAATGGTTGCCCTGTTGCTATGTAATCTCCCTTTCCTTCTGCTCCCTGCCACTGGATTTGGCCAGCCAGCCCTACACTGCAGAAGGAACAGTTCCCACAGATTTTCTTTGGCTTTATATGTCTCTACTGTATTTACTTCGAAAGTGGTGGGCACAAACTTTTCTTTGTGTTACTTCTTTCCAGAATCTGAGAACCTGGATTACAGGCTGGGAGCCATTCATGCGCTGGTCTATAAACTACCTGACAAGAACAGAGAGATGTTAGAGCTCCTCATACAACACCTCGTCAAGTAAGCAGACATTTTTCTCTAAAGGCAAAGTAAGGAGAATAATGGAATCGGCAGAACAAGCCTTTTTTTATGGCAGGTTTGCAAAATTGTACCCACCATAGTACCCCTAGGAATTTACGTTTGGACTGTACAAATGGTAGGGTTGTCCTTGCTACCCACTTCATTAAGTGATGCTTCTCTTTCTAATTGCTACTTCAGAGAGAGGGAAAATTGAAGCCAAAAGTCAGTTCTTGATAAATAGGATATTCCAATTTAAATGATTCCTTTCGTGTATGTGTTGCACAGATGACTTTTGATTGCAGAGTTTAAAAAGGAGCTAGGAGTGGGAAGGGCTCAAATAAAAATGACGTCAGCATGTTGCTTTCCCAAACAGTTGTCCTAGCCAAAGCTGCACGTCATAGCTAGAGACATGTTCTATCTCTGGTAGGGCTGGGAAACAAATTCTGCTGAGACAAAATGAAGAAAATTGAGTGACTGATTCTTACTGGATTATTTTTTATTGCCTGGAATAAGTTGTTTGAAAAAACCCAAACCAAACCAAAACCAATTCCCTTCTTTCCCGCCTCTCCACAGCATATGTGAGCACAGCCGAGAGAATCTGATGTCACCATCTAACATGGGGGTGATATTTGGACCAACTCTCATGCGAGCACAGGAGGACACCGTGGCAGCGATGATGAACATCAAGTTCCAAAACATAGTGGTGGAGATCCTCATTGAGCACTTCGGGAAGGTACAGGTGGAGCCCCGGAAGCGCCTCCACGCAGCTCCTGGCTGCTCCATCGTGTTCGTGCAAACTGTTGCTGTGGCAACAATGTAGAGCTCTGGCTTTTTTTTCTGAAGTCTCCTTAGGCAATGGGGTGTTTTACCTAGTATGCTGTTCTGAAATGCTTCGGAAGGAAACAAAAAGCGTAGCAGGTGTGATCCCCACTGTTGCCTTTAGCTAGTTCTGAAGGAAACCCTGAGTCTGGGGGTTTTTTGCTTTTCTTTTTATTGAAAAAAAGGCCTATTCTATGCCTGGACACAATAGGACTTTACACTTTCCTTTGCTGGAGACAGGAGCTAGACCAGAGCATAACTGGTTTCAGCGGACACAATCCAAGATGAGACCTTAGATAGCTATTAATACAGGGGAAGAAATCCCAAAGCAGACAAGTATTGAAAGGTTGATGAAAATAGTTCAGCTGCACATGGGATCTGTTCAGATCCAGATGTTGGATGGAGTGGGTGGGCCTGGGGAGGAGAGCTGCTGCCTGGGGTGGAGCTGTTGGAGAAGACTTGCGCTGTTGTGTTGGGGCACTGCTCTGCACAGGGCAGTGCGCCCTGGCCAGGCTCCAGCAGCATTTGCCTTTCATGGGATCTTTGCTGAATGTTTGGGTCCAAGAGCATTGCCTAGGTGCACAGCCTGCTGCGGCGGGTGCTGGGTAGGCAACAGCTTTTTGTCGTGTGGTGTTTTGGCACCTGATGGAAAGCAGAATATTCCCCTGCCTTCTGTATCAGTGCTTTCTCCTCATGATATCTGATATAATGGCTTAGGGTTTGCAGCGTGGATGGAGGCTCGTAGAGCTGTATGTTGATATTTAAAAACTTGAGCAGTGATTGCATTCAGATCAGCACACCAGGGACCAGGTTGCTTTCCTGATAACCACTCTGGGTTCAAAGGAGTGAATTTGGTCCTTGAGGTTTTTGCAATTCTTTACATTACACTGTCCAAACAAGCTCTTATGGCTTACAGAAGGGGAAATTCTGAAGCCATCCTTGCTGTATGGTGCTTGCTGTAGGGAGGATGGGGTAGTGCTCCCAGCAGGCAGGGCAGCAGACGTGCAGATGTGAAGCTCCCCTTTTGGGAAAGGAAGAGGAGGCTGAAGCTGAAAGAGCAGGGTTCTTGCAAAAGTGGATGTGGAGTCGGAGCAACCAAACAGGGACCAGATGGGTGGTGTGGGAGTCAGTTGTGGTACCGAGGATTGAAACAGAGAAATGAGATGGAAGAGCTCAGAGAGACTTTTGAGTACCCAGACAAGAAGCTCGTGAAAAATCACAAGCCAGTTTCTTTGTAGGTCTCTGCAAACGCTTTTAATAATTCCGGCAGCAAAACAGCAAATCATTTGTGTGTTGGGATCCTCGCACAACTTGCTCCAGACTGACCCTGTGTCCTCCCCACTCATACAGCCTGCGGTGCAGGCTGAGTCAACACACCGTTACACTGACACCTCTAAGAGCTGGAATTAAATCTTTAATTAAGCCAGACATCTCTTTGCTTGCTTTTAATTTCTTCAGTGATAAGGTTAAGTTAGTAACATTATTAGATTGGGCTTGTAAGTTCAGCATCAGAGCTTAAAGTGTCTTCAGCTCATACATGAGCAAACATTTCAAATGAGTCTGAAGGAAGAGAGAGATATAGTTTATATGGTGTAATATGAAGACTCTTAAGGGCAAAGTAACGATTCATTAAGTCTTTGTGAGTAATTACTGTTTCCCCAGCTTATGTTTCAGTGCCATGGTTGAATTAAATAAGTTGATCTCTGTGGAAACACCTTCTTCACTGTACAGACCTTCTAAATATGTCAATATCTTTGTACCTTCAAGTTGTTTATCTTGGATTTTCGTTTAGAAGGCAGAAGCAAAGCAGAGGCTGCACCCATGTCTTAAAAAGAATAGTTTTGGTGCAGTTTAGCATGATTTTCAGATGTTGAAAAGCATCTTGCGAAAACAGCATTCTGTGGTGCCTGTGTAAGTGTCTGTGGGGAACTTAACACTTCTTTTTCCTGAAAAAACATTTTTTGATTCTTGTCAATATATTGGAATGAGGTTGATGTTTCAAAAAAATTGCCCTGCTACAAGTAATCCTTTGCTATTTTAATAATATATGAGCTGCTGCTTTTAAATCATGGGCTGTCAATGCCACAGCAAATTCCTCTGAATCCAGGCAGGGGGAACACACCGTATCTTGTATTCTGGAGTGGAGAGAATGTAGTGCCCCTGCAAAGGACAGAGCTTCTGTTGGCACTAAGCATCAGCAGCCACGGTGTCACCGAATCGGGAGAGAAAAGCAGCTGAAATGACCAGGCTGGGGTTTGGAGCTCACCTGGGCCTTTGCCCTGAACCTCCTCTCTTCGTGCAGAGTAGGGCAGACTAAGTCAGGAGCAAAGCCCGAGTGCCAGTGCTTGGTATTTGTACTGAGCCTGCTGAGTGAGACCCTGGGCAGACCAGGCTGGGTGCAGTTCAAGTCTGACCTTGCCCCTGTGCTGCCCAGGTGAGGGAAGTGTGGGGAGCCCGGCTGTCAGTGCCCACCCTCACTCTGGTACGCGCTCCCTGGGCTGTGAGATCAAAAAGGTTAGAGTGGGGGCGTGTTTGTCTCTCTCATCCCCCATCTTGGTTTCTCAGAACTGCTCTTTGGCTGGGAGAAGAAGGAATATGCTTTTGGTTTGAATTACAAAAATGGCATACTTAATCAAATCAGAATGTTAGATTTCTTCATTTTGAAATTTTTCTGGGTAACTTGATAATATTGTTCTTCCATAACAAAGCATGCATCGAGGGAACAGTGACTCTGCTTGTCCATGGGTCTGGCACCAGCTCCCATCCTCTGGGCTTGAGCCGTCTTCTGCCAACAGCCCGGAGGGACCGGCTCCACATTCTCCCAGGACGGGCAGCGCAGCCTCAGATCCCGGCAACTTGTGCCACCCCATCTATAGTAACTCACTCATTAAAGCCTGATATAAATTCAATTAATATCCTTGGGAAAAACACAGGAGCGGTTGGGTTTGGTCCTTAATGTGGTATTTCAGATCTTTAAGAGACTGCTGGGGAAGCTTAATTCTTTCTCAACTCTTAAAAAAAACACTGACATAAATAAGAACCTCTAAATTAAACCCAACCAAAATAGGTGCTATATGACCAGTGAGAAAAGGAGATAAAATTTCTTAGTAACATTGTTTTTATGCCAGTATTTCATCCAAGATAATTTCCTCGTGCCACACACTTCATCGTAAGCCAAGAGCTGAAGGGTTTTATAGTGTTAAATCTAAAACAATGCGGGCGCTTTCTGTAGATTGTATCGCCTCGCTGGTGTGGAAAAGTTGATGTTTCTCAGAAACTGTCAGCTTAAGAGCTTACTTTGTCTGCTCCAGGATAATTTGCTTCTACACATTTGTCTGTATTTGTGATTTTGTGCATTAATTAGTTTAGTGCTGCAGTTCCGCTGTGGGTGTGCGTGCTGCAGAGCAGACAGCCTGTGTCTAGGAAAGCCCACAGCAGGACGTGTCTCTAAGAGCCATAACTAAAGCATCAGCCCTGCTTCAGCCCCTCTCTAGCCTCAGCAGTTGGGGCTTTCCCGGGTGCTGTGGACCCTGAGAGTGGCTGGTGTGCACCGTCCATCCCTCTGCAGCAGGGCTGCAGGAGCTGGGCCACGGCTGGCTGGGATGGTGTGGAGCAGCCCTGGCTTTTCCAGCCCTTCCGGGTCAGTTGGCGGTGGCTTGGGCCACAGACAGCTTCAGTACTTGCTGGCAAGCAGAGGAGCAGGGAGCCCTTGGCAAAGGCAGTGGGCAGCCTCTGGCTGTGCGGGGGCTGGGGCTGCGCTCCTGGCGTGGCTCAGCCTCTGAACTCCATGCTCTGCTGCGGGGTACCTTTTCATGACACAGGTTAACAAGGCGAGCCTCTGAGAGTGTTCTTCGGCCTGGTGGGATGAGGGGGTTGTCTAAACTTGTCTGCCTTTACAGATCTACTCCGGGCCCCCAGAAGACACCACCGCCCCCCCGGTGCCCCCTCCTAGGGTGGCTGCCCGGCGGCACAAACCCATCACCATTTCCAAACGTCCTTTGAGGGAAAGACCCGTCTTCTTTGGTGCTTCTGTGGAAGACAGTGGAGGTCAGTCCAGCTGTTCACTGATGCCTTACCTGCCTCTCACCCCTCCTGTTTCTTTTAACACCTTTGCGGGAACAATGGAGGTAACGACAGCAGGATTGCATTTCCCAGGCATTGAACATGGCAGTCAGCGAGATCTGTTGTTTGGTGAGATAGGAAAGCGAAAATCTACTCACACATAGGTTGCACCATCTCACAACTCAAATTCCAGGGGATTTTTTTGTTTGCTGTTACTTGCAGCTCCATTAGCTAAACTAAGACTGGTTCTTGCATATGAGGAGCCCAGTGGGAAGACTTTGTAGCTTCAGAGGCAAAAATGCAAAGTGTTGCAAATACAGCAGAGTTGGTGGGACAGGAGCAGTGTGCTTAGGCTGGGGATGGCTGTGTGCTGCTAGAGTCCTGTACCACCAGAGCTCACCAGTCCTGAGAGGGTCTGCAGGGCTGGCTCAGCTGCTGAGAGCACTGAAGCGCTTTGTCGGGACCCAGTGGCAGTATTTTCTAGACCAAGTACAACTCTGCTGATAAGTTCGTTTGATTGTAAGGAAATGCTAAGGCCCTTATTACCATGTTGAAGGGCACATCAGTTTAAAATTGTGTTTCTCTCTGCACCCAATTTGCTGTAATTGTTGTTGCAAGATGTGCCCTAGATCACATCATCTCCAAAGAGGTGAAATTTTCATTTTCAGAGCTTTGGTGATGTTTTAGGCTTAATACTACAAGTGTACTTTTTGGCACCAGCAAAACAGGATTGTCTCAATTTGCTTTTTAAATCACAAGGCTTCTCTTGTAGTCAGAGATGGCCTTGCATTTAAATGTTTCTCCAAACTAGGAGCAGAAGCATTAGTGTTTGACAAGGCTGCAGGGTGCAGTCAGTTTCATAGCAGCGCTTCTGCATCCTGTGCCTCTAGCACAGCAAGAGGGATGAGATGAATGGGTTTTGGAGGGACATAAAAGCATGGTACACAACTTCTCATGAGCAAGAGTACTGAAAATTTAAAAGAAACCCCTAAGTGTATTCCATTATATTCAGCGTTGTTTCAGTTTTCTTTATTCCTCAGCATTTGCGTGAGCCACTCACAGTCTGTGTTTTGCTCAGGGTGGGGGTCTGTCGATCCCCTGTTGCAAGCATGCTTGTCTCTCAGTACCGCAGGAGCTGTGCAGATCTCGGGGAGAGCTCTGCACTGCTGCGGGGCAGAGACCACCACACCTCCACACTGCTTCCTAACCCAATGGCTGTCCCTTTGGCTCCGCAGCAGACCGGCACAGCCAGACCCCCAATGGCAGCAGCAGCATCGGTGTGGAGGCCCCCAAGCCGCTGCACCGCAGCCGCCTGCCTACGCCCCGACCAGGGGGGGATGAGCCAGGGCGTCCCCCTGCCGAAGGCCGACCCGACCCACGTGCCGAGGTGGAGGTTGGGAAGCTGGTGGCCAAGCTGCAGGATGGAGGAGTGAAGCTGGCCAGCAAGGCTGCCAACGGGGTGGTGGCCAGCCCTGCCCTGAGGACCACCATGCTCCAGGCCAAGAGACCAGCTCCCCGGCCAGGGATCTATGGCAGAGAGGGTGAGCATGCACCCGAGGCCGTGGCTCGTGCTATGGTCCCAGCCGAAGCGAGGCTGGTGTGCCGTTCTCCCGGGGCAAGCTCAAGGTGCCGGAGCCAGCATCATGCACTGGGATGGTGGGGGCGGGTGGTAGGCTTCTCGCCTTGAGTCCTCTTGATGTAGTTCAGCAGAAGGGGTTGGGAGACCAGAATAGCTTGAGGTGTGGGCACGGGCCAGCAGCCCAAGGGTTTGATCAGGCCTTGGCCTCCTGAGTTGCCCTGTTTTACTTCAGACAGTGGGTGATTTTGGTCTGTTGCTTACCGGGGGGTGGCTGCTGCGGGGCTTTGGCACAGCTTACAGAGCCTGGTGCCCATGCTGGTGCTGCCTGTCCCCTGCTGAGCCAGGCAGATGCCACCGGCGCCAGGTGAAGCAGGCTTTTTTTCTGGTAGCTGTGCCTCTGCTTGTGCTGAGCCCAGTCCAGCTCAGTGGACTCATAAAATTCAAGCTTGAGTAGTAACATAAAGACCATTAAACCTGAAGCAATTTCTACCCAGTCTAACCATCTATGAGCACTCTTGAGTTGTCAGCACTCTCCTCAGCAGAGACACGGAAAATGGCAAATGATGATTATCATTTGCATTCTGATAAGCTTTATACAGAAATTTATTACGGATGGAAATAATTAGTTTGGGGCCAGATCTGAGCTGGCATTGTCTGTTTCAGTGGTGGAAGGGTGTTTGTGTATCTGCGTGCGTGTAGATACTTTCCCCTGCAACACCAGGGAGCTGTTTGCAGGACAGTGCGCTTGGCTGTCACAGCAGGTATTTGGTGCTGAGTTTTATAAAACACACAGGACTATGGTCATAATAAAAGATGTATTGCTTTCTGCAGTTTGCCAGCTTTTCCTGTGCACTTCCTGGTGCTTTTCAGGCCCTGTCATACCCTGGCAGCTTCACAGTTCTATATTTAGAAAATAAAAACCAGGCTGCATTCTTGACAAATGACTCCCGCGTGCAATGGAGAGAAAGGAGAACGGCCCGGCGGGGTAGTGCAAACATCACGTTCATCTGACTGGCACTACTGGCTTAATTTAAATATGTTGCATAAATGATAGGTGGAAATCTGCTTTTGGAAGAATGAGGTAGCTTTTAAAGTTGGCTTATACAGCACTGCAGTTAGTGCTTCTGAGTTTTATGGGTTTGCATTACCGCAGATAGTGTGCTGACAGCACATCCTGGAGCCACAGCATAATAAAGCTGGTCCTTGAGCGTGTACATAGAAGAACGCTGAAGCAGTAATAAAGTTATATTATATCTCTGTTTATACTTGCAAATCAGTGCTAGAATGCTGTATCGAGCTTTTAATGTGCACACTGTGGGGACAAACTTGAAAAACTGGAGAAACCAAGAAGAGGCTGAAGGATTAGAAAACAGGCCTTTTAGTGAGAAATTCAAGTTGTACAGCTTGCCAAGGAGAAAATTTAGGATCAGAATTTGCAAATATGAGTACGGAAGGGAGCTGGTTAAGGACTGGTGTTTGAGCTGGCACACCAGGGTATAATAAGGTCCTGTTACTAAGGGGCTGACAAAGCCTTGGTTAAGTAGTTGCAGCAATTAATTATCTCGACAAACAGAAAAACATCTTTGGCTTATTTCTAATCAGAAACAGGACTCTCTGACAGTGGAAATGTCTAAATCGGAAGGGCAGGGCCCCAGCCCTTAAGATGGTTTTGAGCCATATAAATGGCCAGACAGATCACAAAGGATTGCTGTCCTGCAGAAATGCGCCCTGGAGGGAAGGTGTGGGGTCACCAGGGGTGTCAGGTAAAGTCTGACACTTACTCCTTATTCAGTTAACCCTTGAAAGTCTTCAGGAGTTAAGTGAATAACATGGTTGCTTGGATCTTGGGGAAGAAAAGCAGCCGATTTTTTTTTACAAGCAGCGCAGAAAGCCAGGGGAGAGGATAGGTAGAGCCACCGCCCAAGAGAAAAGCTTGGAGAAGTGGTGGCCTGGACGACAGGGATCCCAGTTTGTGCCATTCCTCTCGCTTTTGGAGAGCGGCACTGCACAGGTTTTGTTTAAGAACTCTTGTTGTTCTCAGGCAGTATCGCCTTTGCAGTCAGCAGCTCTATCAAGTTTGTCATCACAGGGCCCAGCATCAGCCCATCTTCCTAGTGCCAGCAAGGCTGTGCTGGGGCAGGCAGAATGGGAACTGCCTTTTCCTGGAATGCTTTCCCTAAATTCTGGCTATTGGCCACTGTCAGAGAGAGGATGTTGGGGCAGGCAGACAGAACTAAGCCCACTGACTTGTTTAATGCCTCTTCACAAACATCTAGCCCTCCACCAAACCTTTGTACTCAGGGTTTGTAATCTTGAACCTTGCAGGCGAGTATGACTGTGTCCCCAAGGCACGATCCCATGGCGATAAGCCCGTGATAATGCGTCCCCCCGTGAGACCTCCGGACCCACCGTGTAGGACACCTGTCCCTCCGAGGCTGGAGCAGAGACCGGATCTGATAGCAGGAACAGCAGAAGAGATGCCTTCATCCGTGTAAGTCAGCCGCCCTCAGTGGGCGTGTGGTACCTGGGGTGGGCAGCTCGGCCTGAGGGAGCTGCCGGCACCTGGGTGCTTGGGGAGCTTGTGGGGGGACAAAGTCAGCCCAGGCAGCAGGAGGAGGAGCTGGTGTCACCTACCGGGAATTTTGGAGGAGGAGGAGAAATACCACGTTGGTTTCCAGTGCCAGTGGCGTACAATGGCTGGAGCTCACGAATGTCCCCTTCGACACCGGTGCAGGGTTTGAATGCCTCATTGGAAAGCGGTGCAGGGGGCATGGCCTGGGAGGACAGCGTGGCCATAGCAAAGGCAAACATGCAGGAAAAACAAAGCTCTGAACCTTGTCAAATACAGCCCTGGGGCTGAGCTTTGTTCCGTCACCTTCTCTGCTATTTCTTGTGTCAGTGAAGCTGGAGACCTCCTCCCTGCCTGGCTCTGAGCAAGTCTCTCAAATGAGACGCTTCCCAGGGAAGGACAAAATCCATCTTGGATCTCTCTTAAGGAAATTGGGTAGAGTTTAGCGTCATCATCAGATTTCTTTCAGGTTTTAAAGAGACAGAAACCCTGCTGCCTTCAATGGGAGTGAAAAAAAAACCAAAACAATACGAAACAAAAAAGGATGACTAAATACAGAAGGATCTCAGTCCAGCAGCCAGGACGGGTTGGTGGGGATGCTGTAACCTGGGTGATGCCGTGGGGCTTGCTGCAGCAGCTGCACATCCAGCAGACATGTGCATTTTGTTCCCCTGCCATCCCTGCAGGGCAGCACCCCAGCAGCACGTCCTCTGCGGGGAGCCCCCAGGAAAGCCACGCTGAGCAGCTGATCCAAGTCCTGCACATTCACCCCTTGGTCCAACAAAGGTGCTGCGAGTTCAGCTCCGCGCCGGCAGGGCAGGAGCCAGCCTGGCCTTTGCTCTCCTGAACGCCTTGTTAGAACTTTTTTTTCTATGAGGACAGTTGGAAGCTAAATACAAAGCACGTAAAAACTGAAGGAGGGGCCATAAAAAGTGATGGATGCCGGTTTATAAACCAGCACGTGGGATTATAAGGAGGAGCATGGCAATAAGCAGTCTAGCTAAAGGGCTGCCTGGCCAGGGCGGTGTGAAGGTGAAGGGGAGCAGAGCTGGCAGCACGAGCAGCGCAGCTGCTGCCTCAGCAGAAAAGACGTTATTCCACGGTGAGTGTCTTCGGTGTCTTCTGATGCTGCTTCCCTGGCACAGAGATCTAATTAGGAAATTGGCTTATTGGGTCACTGGAGCGACCTCTCTTGTTCTCTTCACAGGGTGGCCTCTAGGACGAAGTTCTTTGAGACAGCTTCCCGGAGAAAAAGCAGGTAAGCCTGGCATGGGGAAGGAAGTGGCATGTAACTAGGAGCAGCCATGCTGCGGAAGGTGCTCCCTCTGGGGCAGAGCGAGTCAGCTCAGGAAACCCCAGCCCCAGACTTTCTTGCCTCGTACTCTCGGATAGAAGGTGGGTCTCAGCTAAACAAAGAGCACAAAGTGTAAAATGTGAACCAGACACAGACTTGATGGATGTGAATCTACTGAGTAATAAACATACCTATGGATTCCTTTTATCATGCGTCTGGATCTAAGTCAGCGTAGTGCACCTTGTACTTCCTTCTCAGCCTTTGCAAAGAGCAGAGATAAGATCATGGGAGAGAGGACAGGGCTGGTTAGATCACAGCAGCTGCTCAGAGATGCAAGACCACAGAGTGGACAGTTCTACACACAATGATTGTGCCAGCATAGCTCCACCACAGAGAGATACAGAGTGGTAGAGCGATAGCTCAGACACTGAAGCCTTCAGGCTTGGCTGGGATGGCAGGGCTTTGAATTGCAAGCACTGTGCTTTGTGGCAGCAGCTTTCAATTTTAGTAATATCTGCCCATTCAAGCTTCAGCTTCCCGCTTTTAACAGACCTCTGCCAAAAGTGTGAGGAGGTTTGCACTTAAGTGATAAATGTCGTCTGTTGCTGTTGACAGTGAGTTCACTTGTTATATTGAAAAATCTATCCTTGACCTGACTGTTGCCCCCCCCTCTATTTACATTTGTGGATCTGAGTTTGAACTTGCTTATTGCATTCATTTTCTGTTTTCTTCTACTCCCTTATATACAGTTCTTCATCACCACAAGGCAGGATCCCAGGTGATGAGAGCTGAGGCTAAAGGTACGTGTTTATGATGATAAACCAAATAATAAACCAAAAGCACACCCGTAATGTAAACTAAGGGCAGTGGGAGTCCAGTAGAGGCAATGGGACTCTCAAAAGACAGATGAGGAGAAATTTCCCTCCTGTAGGAGACCCTTGCAGAAGGGAAGATGACAACTGGAGGTGGGCTACGCTCTCTGTTGGGAGGGTGGAGTGAATCAACCTGGTCTGCCCTTCCTGAGCCTCCTCACTGCAGTGCTCAGGGTAAACAGGAGTGCTGTGCAAATTGTGGTGCCGAGATCTGGGCTCGCTCTGGTTGTGGCGTTGCCATTGCTGTTGAATTTACACTGCCACATAGAGAATGCTGATTTTCTTCTTCCAGACTTTGTAACCACCTCAGCCCAGCTAGACCCAGGAGATTTTCTGTGCTTGTGAAATGGACGTGTCACAGCTAAGACTTTTCCAGTTCCAGTGCCCCTGGAGAACAACTATCTTACAGGACGATAATTTCAGAGCATGCTGTCATAAGTGGCTCAAGAAATTAGAAGAGAGGGAGATAACGATGGAGAGAAGACCCTACCCACTTGTTTGTGTTGAACTGTTCCCAGCCCTTCTGCCACTCCATCCATGCAGGCTGTGAAGGATGCCCATGTGTGCCCTTGCAGGGGACCGCCAGCGTTTGCAGGGCTGGGTGAGCACCAATGGGCTGTGGAAGGGCCAGCAGGGGATGGCAGTGGTTGTTTACCCTCTCACTTTTTGGGAAATGCGCCTTGGCAAGGGTGACCTTGGACAGACATTAGAGTTAAAACGCAAGGGGCTGACTCCCCGTGCTTGGATGCAAGGGCAGAATGACCGGAGCTTGGGTCAGCCCCCGCCTTGCCATAAAAACATGAGAAGCTCCTTCCTTTTTGTTATGTTTTCCTTGCTCAGTAAGCTGTAGTGTGTTTTTCAGTGTGTAGGAGAGCAGTGTATGTTGCTGGAACACTGCTTGGGCTAAGGCAGGCAGGACAGGAACTGGGGGGACCATCATGCTTAGCTCCGCAGGACATCTCTTCATCTCCTCCCTGGTGGCAGCCTGCCCCTGTCCTGGGAAACCACACTGGCAGATGTGGCTGTGCCCTCCTCCTCCTTCTCCTCCCGCCTGAGCCGCTCTCCCACCAGATCTGCTTCCCCTGGGCCCACCAAGTCATCTCTGTCCTGGGGTTATTCTGGTGGGCCAGCCCAGAGGTGGCAAGGAACTGAAACTCACTGAATATGGGTCAAATGCCACCATTTTTCTAAGAGGCACTCAGTTTCTTGTTTGCTTGTTACATTAATTTCCAATCCAAGAGATGTCCAGTCTCTTCCTCAGCAGCGGCCGTGTAGATGGTGCCCTTTGGTCTGGAAGGTCTCTCCTAGCCAGGACCACCCCTAGTTCCCCCATTATACAGTAGAGGCTTATTTGTGGTTCCAGCTGACGCCAGGGCTCAGTTCCTGAGCTGTAGCATTTCCCTGTAAATAGGCAATGACTGGCTTCCCTGCTTCCTCTCATCAGCCCAAAGGCAGCTTCCCTGTTTTGAATGATTTCCCTTGGGTGCTGGGAGCATTCCCGAACCAGCGGCCAAACATCCGCGTTAGCTGCTTCCCGGGTGCTCCATCCTCTCGAGCACGCTTTGTGTCCTGCCCGGCACAGGTTTGCTGGCGGAAGGCTGCCGTGGTCCTTCCCGTGCCATCTCCTGCCACTTGCCTTGTGTGTCGTCCAGCGACCTCCTGCTCTGTTGCCAAGCGTCGTTCTGGCGTTTGCTGGACACACACATGTCATGTCAATAGTGCTTCCGCTCCCTTGGCCTTTGGCAGTGCCCCAGCTGCTCGCTCCCGTGCTCCTGCTTTGAACAGCGGCACATAAAAGTGGCTTTCAAAAAAAAAAAACACCACACAAAACAAAACAAAACAAAAAAACCAAACCTGCAAACCAGTGATGTCAACACCTGGGCTGTATCACATGCACCGGTGTCTCAGGGCTTTTCAAAGCCATGGTGAGCCCTTTCTGCTGACCCGCCTGCCTGCAGCACCCAGTCAGCCCCTGGTCTCCTGCTGCATGCAGGCACTGGTGCCCAAGCCTGCCCTTTGGCGCCTTCATCAGCTCTTGGAGTGACTGTCCCAGACGTGTCAGGCCAGTTGCTCCACAGAAGGCCAACGTTTCCCAAAATGCCATCCTCTCCCGGGGCTGTGCTTTGAGGATCCCTCGAGGCTGTCAGTGTGGGAAGTGCTGGGACTTCCACGGACAGGTGGGTGCTGCGCAGTGCTGGCACCCGCGGTCCCCATCCCAGTGGCCACAGTGGATGTTACATCCCTGCGCTGCTCAGGTTAGGTCAGCCTCGTGCTCGCTGCCCAGCGTGGACTCACGGGACAGAGCTGGGGTCCGTGGGAAGGCAGAAATCCGAGGGCATGTGGTTTTAGCTCTGATGTTGTGAACAATGGAAGGAAGCAGCTTCTTAGAAACGTATTTCGTTGTGTGCTTTTAAAGTCGTTTGTCACACGTGTGTCTGTGCTGGTTTTAACTCCTCCCGGAGCAGTGGGGACCAGTGGTGGAGTGGTGGCAGGGTGCTTGGCTGTGCTGGTGGAGGGCTGCGGGGCACGATCCCTGCTGCCGGTGCTACAGACGCAGCCGGGAACGCGGGATTCACCCCATGCAGCGCGGCCGGCCCCAGACATCAGCCATCGCAGCCGTTTTGTCATGTAAAAGCGTAGATTACTTCAAGTGTTTATAAAGTTTCCATGAAGTAAAAACAAGAGTCCAAGTGTGCTTTTTTCCTCCTTTAAGCAATGCCCTGGCGTTGCCCATGCTGCAGCCATCCTCTCTTGGGTCCTGCAGGCAGCGCAGGACCCATCCCAGCACTCTGGGGATGCAGCCGACCCTCCCTACGCCCGGCCAGGGCACACGAGCGTGGCCGGGGGCAGTGGGTTTGCACAGGGGTGGGCTGAGCATGACCCCCTTGTTCTGCCTGCTACAGAGGGGCGTGTTTGATAGTATGTGGGTTTTAAATGTTTTCTCTTTTTTTGCTTCTTTACTTACGCCTGGTTCCTGTTCAGCTGCCTCTGTCAGCAGAAACACCTTCCTGCTTATTTTATAGTTACGGCAGACACAGCACCAGCTTCTTTCCATCTCTCCAGCATCTTTTCCCCCTCCTCACATCTGTTTTCCCATCCCTCTCACCTCGGACGCTGTGACATTGTGCACTAGCGTTTGCTTTCCAGGCTTCTTGCTTTTAGGTAACAAAAAGGCATCTCGCAGGAGAAAACAGCTTTCACAAATGGGAGTCTTGCAACCTGTGTTTGAGCGTGAATTTATGAAGTGCCCAACCGAGGTGACCACACAGGAGCTCACAGCAGGTGCCAGGAGAGGGAGGGTGTTCCTGGGGGAAGTGTGGGGCAGGTGTGAGGAGATGCAGCCGCTTTCCAAGAGATTTCCTAAATAAACCGCTCGCTTCTTTGTTGAGGAATTTTTTTTTAAATTTTTTTTTTTTAACTAATAATGCAGCTCGAAAAAGCTGCAGCTCAGGAACCTGCTCCAGCAGCTCGAGGTGACTGATTCAGCTCTGGAGCGACGGGGAGCATTGTCACCTATACCCTTATCCTGCTGCTAATTGCTGTGTTCTTCGCGGTATCCTTGCTGCAATTATTTTGTCCCATCCCAGCCCTAGTTCAAGAGTGCTGAGCTTTGCAGAATGAGCTCAGGTTCGCAGGCTCGGAGCAGGTCTGGGCTGTGCCCCAGCCCAGCCGGGCACAGTCCTGCCTCCCACTTCCCCGTTCAGCAGCGCCATGTGGGGCCTGAGACCCCGCTTGCAGCAGTGGGAGGGGTCCCCAGCAGCAGCACACAGCACCCCACGGTTCCCCCAAGGGGCAGCTGGACACAGGGTGCTTCCCCCCACACCCCCAAACCGCTGTGTCTCCTCCAGCCCCGGGAATCACAGGTGCCCGTTAAGCCCCTGCACCCTCCAGTGCTGGGAGCAGGATTGGAGGAGTCACCATAGCGCCTTCCCCAGAGCAGGATTTACTGCAGCTCTCTGCATTTTGGCAGTCTTGGCCTTTTCTCCTCATACTCCTTGGCAGCGTTGGGGAGCGGTGTCCCCCACCCCCCTGCCAGAGGCTCACCCAGCCCGCCCCTCTGTGCCCAGAACATCCCCTGCCCCAGACGGACCACGGGTCGCCATGCCCAGGTAGCATGAGCTGAAGCAGCAGCTTGAGGGCTTTTTTTTTTTCCCCCCTATATTTCTGGCTCCTTATTTCTCTGAAAGTTTCCTTTTGGGGCTGTAATTGTTCCAGGGATGGATGCCTTCAAAACAACAGTGTTTCAGGGGTAGAAACTGTTTTCCCGTGAGCCCTTGTATTAAATGGTTACATATTGGAACCAGCACCCAGGCACTATCCCAACAGTTCTGGTGTCCCAACCCACAGGTGTGTGGTTTGCTCTCTCACAGAAAACGTTTTGATTTAATCTGAGCAAGAAAAATATTTTCCAGCATAAGTAAAACCTTGTAGTTTTTTATACAGAGACAGGATACTAAAACAAGAAGTTTCAAAGCTTGAGACTGGGTCTCAGTGATGACTTCCCAGAGGAAGAGTTTGGAGAGGCTTAAGGCACCTAGTTCAGTAGATACATCTATATGACAAATTTAGAATTGAAAAATGTATTTAGTGGAACCCTGACATCTTAAATTTATGTGCTGCACAGAGACCCATAAAGGTGCAGGAATCCACCTACGCAGGACTTCTTGCAAGATCAGTCTTAGTTTTAAGTTCCATAATTCTCTCTGGCCCAGCTCCCTGCACAATTAACCAGCTGAATGCTCTGATTTAGGACCAGCTTTCTACACCAGATGTTTTCTTGGCAACCATCAGCAGCGTTACTTGGTCTCTACATCCATAAATCAAGAGCTGGGCCACCAAAAGAATCCCGCTATTGGCTTAAAAAATCAGGAGATGCTTTGAACCAGTAAAAGCTGTGATGTTTATTTTCCTTATATTTTC